TGAATTAAGAAAGCGAGGTCCTTGATTTTACAGGTGATTAACTGAATTACAGGGGAAAATCAATGCACCTCTGAACAGCCATCCCGCATCTCCAAAATCTTTGTCTTGGCCACGTAGCCATTTTTAAACTTTGCATCCCTGCCTTCCCAGAAAAATGATAACTGCTTTACTGATTTGCCTTATAAAACTTCTAGATAATAGATGCCAGGCAACAACAACAACAAAAAAGTGCATGTGTAGGGAACCCACCCCAAACCAAAACCCACCTACCTGAAACTCCTTGCTGTGAGCTTGTTAAGTAATACCCTACTGCATTTACACAAGTGTATGAAACACAAGCTTCTGGGACGGATCTTGTGATTCTTTGTATTTTGTGTGTGTGTGTATATATATGCGTATTCTTTTAACAAAGGTTGCTCACTGAATTATATTAATGTTTGTTTAGCATATTTGTGCATGTAATAGGAATTGTGAGAGGACAGGTAGCACTGAGCAGCTGCTGATCACATATGTGTTATTGTGTGAATTTTGTCAACTTTTGCCAGATCTCAACATTTGGCCAGTATATTTGAGTTAATCACAACCATACCTAAATTAATTATTCATGTATTTGAGAAAAATAATATTTTAAAATTTAAATCTGTTTTTCAGTGAAGACACATTTGAGTTCTTTATAGTGTTTCATGCTTAGCTCTTGCTTTTATCAGTCAAATTATTTTAAATAGAAACTTCTCTTATATTTAGAGTTGGCAACATTATGTATGATTACTGTTCCTGGACTACTACTGCTCCAGTGGTTTTTTCGTTCATTAACGTTTTGTTAGCAAAATTTTAAATGGCAAGGTACAATACCAGGATACATTATTTCTGCTATTAAAATGTATTTTGAAATTCTTCTGCTTGCTTTTGAAAACTAAATACTGAGACTAGTCATACTACAGCAGTTGTATGCGTTTCTATCTTTGGAAGACTCATTGAATCAAACATGTATATGCATTTATTTCAGAAAAGATGCAGGAATCTTCAGGTGACTTTATGTAATCTAAATACAAATCTAAAGGAAATGTGCTACAATATTATTGCTGTTTTAGCAATCTATTATAAAGTTTATTGCACAGAAATAACTAGGTCAACCTCTGGATGACCTGTCTTTTGGAGTTTCTTCAGTTAGCTTTAGGCTAGAGCTCCACCTTGTGATCTTTCAGCAGGATACATTTTCTTTTTATAGTTTAATAATTTAATTATTTCACAAAGTTGAGTGACTTTGGAAAGTTTTCAGACTTGAGAGATTTCAGTATCTGCTTGGGAAAATTAAAGTTGGAATTCTGTGAACACACAAAAAAGAAACTGAACAACAGCTGCTTTTTATGACTCCAGTTTAGATTTAACTTATTAAAATAATCTGCTTATTAGAGCACATTTAATAGATAATGCAGACTTTCACTGGTTGGAATGGCATCTGCAAGAATTTCACTTTCCTCTTTTCAGACTGCACTGTGATGAACTTGGTATATTTTAAAAGTTTTGACGGGGTGCTTATATGGACTGATCTCCTTTCTCATTGACTTCCCAAACCAGGTTGCTTTGAATGAGTCATCAAGTATGTGCATGAAGGAGACATGGCTGGCAGTAGTCTTGAATTTCCAGAAGGCATTTACTGAGATCGAGGATAATGGGGGATGACCAATGCCAGTCTTTTCCTATACCAAAACAAGAGAACATCAAATAAAATTGGAAAGTGATAAATTCAAAGCAAAGAACATGCCTCTTGGTAGTATGGAGTTTGGCTGTGGGAGTTCTTGTGTGGAATACCATCGCTGCTGAATATTGAGTTCAAAGAGTAATTGGAAGTATTAATGGAAAAAATACTGATGGGGGTTATAAAATATAGGGACAGCTTCTCTGGCTGAAAAAATCCCTGAGTTTATTTCTGGATGCTGGGAAGGTATTCAGGGAAAACATCACTAATAAGAACAAAGCGAATGTGTTCTTCCTTGGGCAGCTTCTGTTGGCCACTGCCAGAGAGGGCATGCTGGGCTAGGTTGACCCTGCTGGTTAAGAATCAAAAGTCCGTGTCATATTCTGGCTGTATGTAAATCTTTTAAAATTATCCTTTACTGGGACAAATGCAAGGGGGTTTTTGGTCATTGCTGGAGTTTGAGCTTGACGCTGGAGATCCCTTACAGTCTTACCTCATACATTCTTCCAAGGCATTCATCTGTAGCTAGTATTCCATGATACTAGTGTATAGTTGCACTCATGAGGGCCAAGTTTCTTCTTCCTTCAAGAAAAACAATTCTTGAAGCATAAATCTTAGTAGGTTAACACTTCAGCATCTACCAAGAACTTGTTATTTCTTTCCCATTTTATAAAGTGATTCTGACCAAACAATGCCATGTTTTCTTTCGTGTTTTGTTGTTTGTAGTAAGATGAACGGTTCTTACAAGAAGTTCAAATTGGTATAAACTGCAGCCAGCTAGTTTTGTCAAGTGATTTATTTGACTTGTTTGATGCAGAGAATATATACTTTATTAATTTACCCATCCTTTTTCATAGTTTTTTTTACTGATTTTTTTCTTTAAAATATTTATGTGAATGTAAGAAACTTTATTGAGACATTTTTGCAAAACTTGATAGGACAATAGATTAGCTTTTCATAAAGGGAGCTAAAAATGTGTTAATTCTGTGAACAAGGGGTTGACTTGCTTTGTTTCTCAGTACTTTCAAATTTTATGGAATAGGTAATTTTAGTATTGTAAATAGGTAGCCATAATTAATGAGCCATAATACAAAATTTGCATGTAAGCATCCTGATTGTCACTGTAGTTAGATGTGTTGCTTCTCAACATTGAAAAATGTAAACTAGAAAAAACCAAATAACAACATGTTGATAGACAGGTTGAACTTGAAACTGAGCAGTGTGGTTTTTTAAGTTTGCATCTTTGCTTTGCACTGGGACTGAATCTCAGGCATGCCCCAAAAAGGACTCGTGTGGTTGGATCTCTTTCTTTTTCTTGCTTTCTTCCCCCCTACCCCCATTTCTCCCCCTGCTCCCCCTCCTTACTTAGGTACACCTCTGAGCAGGTGCTAGCCTCATGACCAAGGCACTAAAGTGTGCTGTGGTATTTTTCCAAGTTCAAGTTGCTGACAGGAATAAGAGCAAATCTTAAAATAAATAAATAAAATATAATCCAAAGTGTAGGGCATTTTGATACGTCACCAACTGAGCATGTAGTTTTACAGACAGCCTGGATGGTATAATAGCTCCTTGCCACCAAAGAAGGGAGTTTTATTCTTCCCTCCCCTGCTCATGGCTATGCAGTCTTGTGTTTCCCGTGCATCGGCTCCGAATACCTGCTGTTGAACCAGTTTAACTTGATAATCCAGGGAAGAAAATTCTTGAGGTATATTTTGCCCATTTTACTGGGGAATTGAATCAGGTGATACTGAATGGCAGAGCCTACAAAGATAAATGGCTGGGGAGTTGGGGTGTTACCCTGCCTGTGAATGATTGTTTGCTAAAGAGAGTGTATAAATGGAGCAGGAGAGGATGAAACGCGCACCGGACATGTGCCTGTGTGGTTTTAGGAAGGGAGGAATGGGGTGACAGAGGTTGCTGCCATTCTGCAGCAGTAATGTTTTTGAAGCTTTTTATCTTCTCCTGTGTTCTGGATGGAACACGCTTTAGTAGTTGCAGACTATCTTGAGATTCACCAGCCTATCTCGAACCTCCTCTCTTTTTGCCACTATTTCTTTCCACTCTGGTTCTCTGCTTTTATGTAATTGTGTGAAATGTGAAGAAAGAGAACATAAGAAGTTCAGGGTTTATGGTTTCTCTCAGCTCTCTAAATTCTGGAAGCTACAGTGGCCCCTAGCATTCAGAGCAAGCACTTGCAGGAAAAAAAATTTACGGCCTCTATCTACATATTCAATTGAAATGCAGCCTCTGAAGCATAGTTACCAGACATTAAGCAACATGTGCTTAGCATGCCAAAATTAAATCTTTCCCTCAAATACCTCATCGCTCCAGCAAGCTGTAGAGTCAGCAGACTTTGAAGGTTTTTCTCCTTGCTATTTTTTCTTTAAAATACCTGAACATCATGCTTTCTTAATTCAACTGTATAAAAGTTAGCCTGGGGCAGACAATTGACATAGAAAACTTTAGCCTGCGTGGTTAAATCTCACATTTGAAGTATCCAGTGAGTTTTTTCCCTTTAAACATATGAAAATTAGATAAATAACAAAATTTATGAATAGGTGGCAATATTATAATCAGGTTGAAAGGCAAGTATTTCACAATCTTATGTTCTCTTGATAAAACGCTATGTTTTTCTGATGTTTTCCTTTATAATGTGGATAGTATTATCTTCCTTGATATTCTTAGAGTCTTGTCAAATGCTTTAAATGTTAAAACTGTTGTAAGCCACGTTTCTCAACTCTGGAAGACAGAGTTGTGAAACAGCTGGCTAGGTTATAAGGACTTGTTATAAGAGCTTATCTTTGTGGAAAATGTCATGGAAGTTTACAAATCAGAGATACAAAGGTGGTATACATAGTGTCCTTAAATGTTAAATTAAAAGCACAGTATGTGTACATCAAATCTGGTTTTGGTTTGGTTAACCAGAAATATCCTAGTGTTGTTAAGTCTGGGCTCTGCAGTGCATGGTATTACAGTTCAAACTTAAATCTAGTATAGATTTAGAAATAAAAGTTATTACTTGCAAGGTGTTACTGAAAACCATTCCAGTTTGCTCATCCTATTCAGAAAATGCTTTTTGACAAACGTTTTTGTATTTTATTTTACTGTGATGCTTTTAAGATTTGTGGAGGTACTTTGTAGTAAGATCATGGGAGGAGTCAAAAATATAAAATCTTTAAACAGGAAAAAGCTTAGTTGGAAACAGAGGGGGGCATGATCTAAATTTTCTGCGTTTCCAACTTTTTTACCCCTTCATATGTGGAAAAATTTTCACTTTATTTATTTATTTTATTATAGAAGTTGTCCACTACAAAGGAAGAAAGAAAAGTAATCTTGTACTTCAGACTGGTTTTTGAATATCTTTCTAATACAGTGGTGTTCCAGAAGATGATAAAGAAATGATAGCAGCTCCAGAAATACCAACTGATTTTACTCTCCTTCAGTAAGTGTTTTAAGAATTTCTAGTTTCATTTTTAAATGTACTGGCTCTTTTTAGTGTTAATACATGTTGTTGGTTTTCTCTTGGAAACAAGGAAACAAAATGGAGGAATAGGGTTCTAGATTTTTTCTTATTGAGACGTTGATGCTGCATTGTCTGAATTCTTGAGTATTCAGCACTAATTAAAATAAGTATTTTAGAAGCGCTTAATTATTTTAAATCAATTTTTAAACTTTGCTAGTAGGAAGCCATTGTGACAGACACTTTTTTGTTTGTTATGTACTTTTCAGGATTTTGTCTTTCCAAGTGAAATGTTTGAATAAGAAACTCTTTGATTAGGAATACCAAAAAAAGTTTCCTTCATTAAAGCCTCTTTATAGAGAGGGAGGAAGTAGTTGAGGTATTTGCCCTTAATAACTGGGGCAGGTCACGTAATATTGTAAATACCTACTGCCAAATGCTTTAGTTAAAGCCAAAGTCTTAGCTTCCCTCAGGCATCAGTTCCTTGGTGTTTTTGACATCATTTTATTAGCTCGCTAGTCTTCCTACAGTTTTTAAGAAACAGACATTTGAATTTCCAAGATATAAAGTTGGGTATAGATTACATTTTGGACAGAGAAATAAAGTGATTATTTTAAGCAGACCAAAAGAATCCAGTTCCTCACCTTTTTAATTGTCAAGAAATTGGCGTGAATACATTTCAGCAGACTGTTGAAATGGATTCAATTGGTATAAAATCTAAAAAGATCAACGAGGTTGGTTGTGTGGGGTTTTTTTCCTTTTAATGAGAGATAAAGGTAAATTGGAAGATGGTTTAATATGGAATACTGTTTTTACAGCTGTTTATAGTGTTTTTTTTACTCTGTTGGAACAGTTCATTTCTTAGTGAAACGTTTGGAATTTGTGTTGTATTCTTCCCTGTGAAAATAAGAACACCTAGGAAGTTTTGAAGAAGAAATATTTCTCACCTTCCTCCCCCCTCCAGGAGACACTTTCAGTCCATATCAGAGTACATAGTCAACAAAACCAGAAATAGCAAAATACATGTTAAAAGGAAGAAACCTCCTTTCAGACACTTGTAATAGTGAGAGACCTTCAGTTTCTGGATTGTTTTAGAATGTTATAAATACAAGAATGGGTCTCCCATGTCCCTGGTCGTCTTTATGATTGCATTGTTAAGTTGAATCAGGAAGTGTGTATCAGAAATTTGTGATAGCAGCTGGAATTCATTGTACTGCATGTATGTGTTAAATGATGCTGCTAGATCTTGTTTTAAAGTTGTATTCTGCAGGAAATGTAGAAATAGAGAATACACAAGCTAAGCATTCTCTATTAATAATTCAGGTGACTTCACACACACACACACACACCCCCCCAATGTTGGCAATAAAGGATTTGTATATTGATGCAGCGTATTTAAATGATGTAGGAAATTAAACAAATGAGAAACATTAATATATTTTCACATATTGTTCATATATTGTTTAACATCTTTTTACCTTACAAGCTTAAACAGAGCTACAGGCTATCTTTTTGATGGAGAAACCTCACCTAAACTTTTTTCCTGTATCTGTCAACATAAGTGTGTACCTCTTAACTACTTACTTAGTTTCTGATAGCATGAAGAGATCTGCTGAGACGCTTTGGTTATGAGGGAAAGTGGTGGTGGTTTTTTTGCTGTTGGTTTTTTTCCTCTTTCTTCTATTTTGTTTTGTTTAAGTATTTGGGGCAGATATTTACGGTGCTGCTTGCTTTTTGAGATGGTGTAATGTTTGTCGCGTGCTAAAGGCAGAGTTCCCAACCTGTTGCTATTTTCTACCCGCCTTCACATCTTTTAACCTTACTGTATGGCTTTCCTTGCAGGTAGATTGTTTGGAGGAGGCAGGGTAGGGTGTGAGTGTGAGGATATGCTCTGATCTGTTCCTCGATAGTAGAATTAAACAGAAGAAAAAAGCAGTTTCACTGTTAGAGTTGACTTACTGGACAGAGAGCATAATGTGACTTCAGTATATTTAAGAATGTTTCTGATGAAATGTGTAAATGGTTTGTCTTTTTATCCTTGCAGGGAGTCTGAAACACACTTCTCTTCTGATACAGACTTTGAGGATATTGAAGGAAAAAACCAAAAACAAGGCAAAGGAAAAGTATGTTCAGTTTATAGGGATACTGAAACACTTCTACTGTTACGAATTGAAGAGTTCAGCACTTGCTTTGAAGCTGAATGAGCTAGGAATATTTTCTGAAAATGCGAGTGTTCTGTGAAGAATTCATATTTGTATTTGCATTGAAATGCTTTGTCTTGAGTATTTGCATGATATTTCCTAAGTGCTATGAAGGCATAAGGGAGGTGGGGGAGAAGAAGATTTGATTTGATTAGTCTCTCTGCATGTGTTCCACCCTATACTTAAATTTGGTTCTAATACAGTCTCTTTTGGTTAGTGTCATTTAATTCTGGCTCTTTCAATTTGAAAAGTGAACAGAAGCAAATAATTCAATTAAAAGGGGTTTTTTTATAGGTCGCAGACAGGAGGTTATGCTACCCGAGCAGAGAGGTCTAAACCCAGTTAATAGCCCTTCTCTCCCCTCATCAGACGTGTGTCCTCCCCACCTTGGTGGCTCCTGCCCTCTCACCAGCTTGGCACCCACCACATGCAGCTCCTTTGCTGCTGTGGCGCAGGCAGGCTGCTGCATGCTGGCTGGCCTGGGCTGTGACTGCCTTGCTGGGCACCCCATGTACCTGTACCGGTACAGAGTTCCCAGTTATTAAGAGGTGATGATAAATAGTTTTATACAACAGTAATTTAATTTCTGTTTAAATGCTTTTTTTCTTACTTCTTTCTGTAAGTCATACTTGATTTGGGGAATCAAATACGAAGACGCTTATGTGCTGTTCCTCACCCCCACTTGCCAACGTGTGCTCAAATTAAAAAACAAAAGGTTAATGAATTTCAGAGGAGACTTTGTGATGTCTGTTAATGGAATTGCCATAACTGTTTTAAATAAAATCTGTATAATCTGTTTTACAATTTAAACACAGGAAAAATCTTTGTGTCATACACTGTCACTAATCTTCTAGCTAGTTGCTAGAAGATTTTAAATGAGGGAAGGAGGAAATGGAACCTGTAGAATTCTCATTAGTCTTTGTATCAGTCAGGATCAGCTATTATTCTCAACTTTGGATTTTAAATCTCGTTCCTGAAAACAAAAGGCCTTGTGTATTGTTGTCATGGTATGAATAATAATTTTTTTCTTTAATTACTACATAATACCCAATTAAAAATTCTTGTGCGTGTGTGTGATTGCAGACTTGTAAAAAAGGAAAAAAAGGACCAGCAGAGAAGGGGAAAAGTGGAAACGGAGGAGGGAAACCTGGTGGTCCAAATCGGATGAATGGACATCACCAACAGAATGGTGTGGAAAACATGATGCTGTTTGAGGTAGTTAAAATGGGCAAGAGTGCTATGCAGGTAAGACTTGAGATATCTCTGTGACCTGGATGAATATACAATTTAAATATAACAATATTTTCCTGTACATAAGATTTAATAAAATGAAGCCTAAAGTAAATTTTTTTCTTCAATTTGTAGTTTTTAGTTCCAGGTTAAGATTAAAGAAAAAAGTGTTTTTACATTGTTAAGGTTTGAATTTGAACGAACTGATTTTTCATTTCTAAATGTCAGGCATGAGTAATCACATATATAATGAAGAAATTCAGACTATGATTGAAAGTGAATTTTCAGTATCCTGGATGAAGAAAGGTTACTTTAGATTACATGACTTCAAAGTCCTTTTTGTGTGGCTGTAACTAAATACAAATGTGGTTTATGCCTCTGGTTGTCATAGAACTTAACAAGAAATCTGTAGTCTGTAGATGCTCCCAAAACTTAGATTATCTGAAAAGAAATAATTGCTTCTCTTCTGTCACCCAAAGTAAAATCACTACACTACACACTACAACTTAAGGGCTACTCTTTAAATTCCCCTTAAGTTGACTTGGCTAATGTATATTGCAACACTAATTGGGTAGAATTTGGGTCAGGAAGTTTTAACCCGTTAGAAGTCTCTGCATTAGGCACTGTCTCCACTGCATTTACTAATAGGACTGAAGTCAGTCTATTATGAAATTTAGCACTTTTTTATTTTAAATTCAGTTAAATCGGTAAAGTGTTTGCTTGACTGTGTGAATCTTCCAGTGGAGAGAGGGTTAAAGTGTAAGCCTATCAGCCATGAAGCCTTCCTGCTGACTCACTCATGTGACTCCTCAGCAGCCTCGAAGAAAGACTTTGGGATTGAAAATCTAGAGTTTACAGCTTCTGTGATGTGCATGCAGGAAGCTGGGTCTATATGCAGTCCTCTCGAGATTTGAAGGCTCCGGCATTAGAGCTGGGAACCTTGGAGCCTGAATTGCTTGGCAGAAATTTAGTTCAGACTTTTAAAAAAGAACAGACTACTTTGATGTATTTGCACAGAGAAATTCTGATACTTCCATCATTTGTTTTGTTCTGCCGTATTTCAAAGCGGGTAGAAAAACTATACTTTTCTGACTGTTACTGTGTGCGCTACATTTTCAGCCAATTATCAGCGGTTGTATTTTCATGACATTTTAACTGTTCAAAATGATATACAGTCAAAATCTTTTGCTTTCCAAGAGCAAAATGGACCTTTGCTAGGCCCGATTACTCTGTTGAATTGGGGAATTGATATCTGGGTAATAGAGTGAATCTTAGTCATTTTTTTTTTGTCAAAATTAAGGAAGAAAAAAATTCTCGAAGTATTTCTAAAGTAATTCTAAAGTAAAGTCCTCTTCAGTGCTCAGTGTAGAAAGTTTTCTCTGTGGCCCTCAGCGCTTGCTTACCTGAAAAGGTTTGATGATGATTTTTATTTTATTTTATTTTGAATTCTGTTCCATACCTTCTTCTGAGTTAGCGTCTATTCTCTGGCAAAAACAGATGGTTCATCCACTAAGACAAAATGTTTCGAGAAACTATTGTTTTGCTAGAGGTTCTTGAAAATAAATAAATTCTGAAAACAAGGCTGCCTGACTGAAATATTTGTCCCGTTCCTAGCATTATCTTGTTCTTGCACAGTGACCTCCTTTATAAGCCTAATTTAAGATGTTTCCTAGATTATTTCCCCCCTCCCCACAGATCAACCAAATCAGTACTGGTTTGTAGGTTCTTCTCCTGGGAAGACTACGACAGTTTCACTTTGAGTTTTTCATTCTTTTTGTCTTGCTGATGGAAGCTGTGCATCATACTATAAACAGTCTTAAATTTAGGGAAGAGGGATTTAGCTGTGCATCTGTTGAGAAGTTTTTCTGCACGGCAATATGTTTTATTTGTCCTCACAGCATTATTGCCTGTGAGAGTAAGCACTGAGAAGAGTACAGGCAGGAAGCATTGGAGATGCTGCGTAGTCCAGTTGTCTTTTGGAAGTTCTGAACCATTCCATCATCTCTCTCTATTTGGAATGACTCTAGATTTTAGGGCAGGGTATCAACATATTAAAAAACTCAAAACTGAAAGCTTGATACTAAAGTGGGTCTCTTGTGCCTGTGTTAATAAAGTAATTGTATGATACGAGTTTTTGACTTCTGCGGTAGACAGTTTGTACTATACACATGGATGGTTTAAACATAATTGCATGTAAATTCTGTTTTTTCAAAACCATCATCTCAGGTTTCCTACTAATTTCCTTCCCTTGAAGGTTCTTTAGTAAAATGCTCTTGTTGCTATTTGGTTTAGTGAATACAGAGTAATTAATGTCCATGCAGTGTAGGGCAGTGCTGTTCATCCTGTTATGGCTAATGTGTGTGGAGCACAGTTCATCAAAGGGGCAACATTTTTGAAGACTAGAGGGAGCTGTAGCTGTTGGAACTGAACACCTAAATAGTATCTTTAGAGAAGCGTCACTAGTTGGGGGCAGGGGAGAAAACCTGCTTCTGTAAAATACCAAGTATTTTTGCATTCTCCCTCAAAAAAAGTTACTGTAGGACTATATAGTATTCCTGTGCTTTATGTTTAGGTGTTGGTTTCATACTTGCATATGTTTATAGAATAAAATGAGTTCTTTTCTTGAAAACTGATATTATAGCAGTAGAGGATCATTGAAACATTTTGTTCTGTATTAATCAAAAAAACAAAGTTCATGTTATTTATGGAAGGAACAAGAATCACTTACTGGAAAGCAGTTAAATAACACTGTCTTCAATTTATGAAAACTAAAAAGTGCCTTTATATTTGTTTCTTTTCAGTCTGTAGTGGATGACTGGATAGAGTCATACAAACATGACAGAGATATAGCACTTCTTGATCTCATTAACTTCTTTATTCAGTGTTCAGTCTGCAAAGGTAAGATACTGAAATGTTTACTCATCCATTTAAGTAATATTATAGTATGAATCTAATTCTTTGCTTTTATACCTCGTATGCTGTAGGACTGCTCCATCCCTGCAGCTAGTTTACATTATTAGGTTCTTGTAGTTAAGCTAGTATTTCTGAAGTTGGGAGCAGGAGGTTTATAAATATTATACTATATTTAAAAATGTAGATAAAGCCTAACACCAGAGAGAATGCAGTATTGGTACTTAACGCTTACTTCATCTTCCTCTGCTCCTGTTATTATTTCAGAAAATCATCTCTCTCTTTTAACATTGGTAGTTTAGCTTGTTCAGTCTTGGAATTCTAGTTTGGATTTATCTAGTTCTTATCACTGAGTGTTTTAAGATTGTTTCATAGCCTTTGTAGAGACGCTTGATTTAAAAGGTATTATGGACAGCTTCATGGTAGCCTGCCTACAGTGAGATTCTATTTCCATATTTTATTCTTTATTTTGTGGTTTTCTTTCCTCACTTCTACATCCTTCATTCTTTTTCCCCTCACCTCCTTTTGAAGAGAAGAAGGTAACTTACTCTGCAGCGTCACTGTGCTTGATAGAGTAGGACTGGATGTAATTTGTTCTGCTCAAGCATTTCTCTGTCCTGATAAACTTTTAATGTGCATAAATCTCTAGAAAGCTAACAGCATTCCTCAGAGGTTATCCATGCTTTCAAGAGCAGTGACCTTTTGATTATTGTTACCAGATAAAACTACAGAATCTTTTAATGCTTTCTGAGATGATCCTTCTCATGAATTTTGCAGTATAGTTGCAGTAAACTTCAGGAGATCTATTTGTTTTTTATATCACCATTTACACTCTTAACAATTTGAGGCTAAGACAAATAGAAATTGCATGAAATCACTGTGTTTGTTACAGTGCAGATGATGTTAAGTAGCAATAGAACTGTTCAAAATTGTCTTACACCATTTAGAATCTTGAGTCCTGAAAGGTCACTTCAGATTAGTGTAGTCTCTTGGCTGATGAAGAGGTCTGGCACAAGTATCTTTGACTTCTGAATATAAGTGAATGAGTAAATTCTAGATGTGTGTGTACACACACACAAACACACTTTTAAAAAAGAATAATAATAAAAACCATATATATATAACTAAACCCCAAGTATTGGTGCCAAGAGCTTGTTATACACGGATGCTAAAATAAAAAATGTGTAACTGCTTAAAAAATACATGTATAATCTGTAGGTTAGCTGAAATTTGATCACTTTTACGTTGTAGCAGGAGGCATGTCATCTGCCATATACCTCTTTCATATTAAAAGTGCTAATAGTCTAATATCTAAATTGTAGGAGTTGTTACAGCAGAGATGTTCCGACATATGCAGAATTCTGAAATAATCCGAAAAATGACTGAAGAATTTGATGAGGTAATTTAATGAAGTGCTGATAATGTATTGATACTAATTTCTTATTTTACCTGTCCTAATTTTACTGGATCATGTTGCTACAGGTTTCTTTCAAGGGTAGGGTCAGCTGCAAAAATGACAGGACTTTTATGAATGAAAATCTTGAACTCCCTTATTTCATTGAACTTGTAAGACGAGGAAGTAAAGCTCTGCGTGTATATAACTTGTTTTAGTAATGGTTTAAGAAATCAATATCAACTTTCAGTTTTTGAATAGTGGGAACTCCTACTGCTGTGGGTCTGTGTGGGATGCCTCCCCGTTCCTGCTGTGTATGTAAGGCCTTTAAGTCGTCTTTAACTTTTAAAATGGTTGCTAAATTTATTTCTATGCATTCATTAATCTACAAATCGTGGGGATTTGAATTTGATTATTCTCCAATTGAAGACTAATGCTTTGCCTTTCATGGGGATTATAATGTTTTTTTTTCCTTTAAATTGTCACTTACTTTCTGTTCCACTGAGTGTTGGGGTAAATGAGATGCGTTGGTTTTTTGGGTGTTGGGGTTTTTTTTTGTGGGTTTATTTTTGAGTGATTTTCAACCTGTGTTCCAAAGAATGTAAAGGTAGCTTTAAAAGCTCCTCCCAACATTTGTCTAATATGGAAATAATCCCCATCCCCCCAACCCCCAATAAAAAATCCAGAAAACATTGATAACTTTAACAGAGGCGAAAATGTAGTATGTTTTTGTTTAAAAGGATTTTAGTATTCCTTAGAACCATCTCAATGCATAAATAGGTTTGATTACTATAAGGAAATAATGTATGAAACTTATAAACCTTCAGCTGGGACTGTTCAGGTTTTTTTTTATCACTGTGTTATGCTCACTCTTTCTTGTAACAGTTTTCTAACAAACAACTCTCGGATTTCTAATCTTTTTTCATGGATGCTTTCTTCGTTTTCAACCTGTAATGTTGTTTAGCCTCTTAAAGAAGCTGATCACACAAAAGCCCTGAAAAAAATGTTTTTCACCCCCCCCCCCCCCCCCCCGTCACTTTACCATTATTTGTAAAGGTTCCCAAATCAGGAGAAGAACACACATTTGTTATATTCAAGGTGTTATAGTAGGTCATTTTATGACTTCAGGAATTTTCAGTCTGATATGTAAGCATCTCCCTGTAAACTTTATTATGGTCCTGAACTGAGTGTTCCTAAGCATGTCAACTAACTGTTCACGTGATGGTTCTTTTGTTCTGGTGTAACCTGAAGCAGATTTGTAAGGGGTATGATTTTTTTTTTCTTTTTTCCTTTTTTAGGGAGTAGGACAGAAAAAAGAAAGTAGTAGTTATTTCAGTATATCTGGTTATGTGCAGTTTTTATGGTAGGACTTGCAGAATGTTGTCTCTGCATATAACAAGCCCAAGCTGCAAAGTAGATGCATTTTTGTGGAATCGCGTTCTTCTGATGTATCGTTTTTATGGCATCGGAGATTTTGGCTTTAAAGTTGTACCCATCTCTTTTTAATCTTTATTTAATAAAATAACTTTTAAGATGTTTGAAAGAATTTCCTGTTTCCCTTTTGTTTTTTAATAGGATAGTGGAGATTATCCGCTAACTATGGCTGGTCCCCAGTGGAAGAAGTTCAAATCCAGTTTTTGTGAGTTCATTGGAGTACTCGTCCGACAATGTCAATATAGCATCATATATGATGAATATATGATGGATACTGTCATTTCACTGCTTACGGGGCTGTCAGACTCACAAGTCAGAGCATTTCGGCACACTAGCACACTGGCAGGTCAGTGAATTATATTTATCTGTGTATTGCATCCATTTTACGTTTTGTGTTGCACAGGAAAGAATTGTTCTGGTTGAACTTCTTGATATTCGACATTCAACTCGTGTTTCATTGTGTGATACAGTTTCCGTCTAATGCAGCTTGTTTTGGTACAGCTTTCTTATCTTGCCTTTATTGTTTTTTCATTACTGAAAAACACAGCATTAAAGTATTCTTTACCAGCTGTCTAGTACTTAATTTATGTTAGCTTTAAGTCTAGTAGAAAAAGTAAATAGAAGGAAACTTTCCAGTTGATTCTACAAGTTCGTCCTTGGTCATAAGGGTGTAGGTATCTTTTTAACCTCAAATGCAGTTGAACCTGTTTATGCTCTGCATTAAGTCAAACAGGAGTCATATTTTAGATTAGATGCAATTTTTACTACAGACTTAAATTGTGCTGTATGTTGAGGCCATGGCACGATGTAATTGAAAGTAGCATTTCCGTTCATTGCATTGGAAATAATTTTAAAGAATGCTTCATCAGTGATAGTGTCAATAAATTTCTGTATGGTTTTAAGTAATTGTCCTTTTTATGTTATTTTTTTAAAAAGTCTGTTAAATTACAAAGAAATCCCTTATGAGTTAAGTATGGAGTGTTTTAAATAAATGTCATTATATGGACAAAGGATAAGCTTCTTGGATAAGGAAGTCCTAAACCTGCATTGATTAATGAAGAAGGGTCTCAGATGACATTGTGCAGCAGTCCACTTATGTAAGGCTTATTATAGCAATTTTAGTCTGAACAAGGTGAATTCGGACTGCACAACAAAACGTGAAACTGATTTTTTGCCACACTGGAAATAGTTCTTGTTAGCTTCACTGGAACTGGCTCATTTACAGCTAGCTTCAGTTCTGACTATCTGATCAGTTGTTCTATTTCATCGATCATCTCTCTTGAATATACATTAGCACACTGCGCATTGGGCTGCCGCTGTGAGACTCCGACTAGCCAAGGCATGCATTATGGAGAGAGGAGCAAAACCTTTTATTTCAGGAGTATATATTGATTCTGCTGTATCATCAATTTGACTGCTGTACCATATGGCTAATACAAATCTTAGTTCTTAAACCCAAGTTTTTACTACTTTTTTAATTTGAGTTGTGCCTGAATAAAAGTTGCCGAAGTTGCCCTGTTGCATGTTAATTTCTGTCACACAAAATAATTTTTATCAGTAGTCTGTTTGTGTTTGTTCACATCAGTAGTCGATTCTGTTGATTTTGTGTAATTACTTGTGCATTTCATATGAGATTCCAGTTTGTATTCTTGAAGATTGTGTTTTATATGGGATAGAGACAGCCAACAAAATCCTTGTATCCATATTTACTGTTATTTGCAGTAATTTTGGCTTTTATGATTAGCTCAGACTTGTTCTTTTCATCTTGATATCCTTGGAGATCAGTTTGTGACGATATTTTGATATATCTGCATGTCTTTGTCTTACTCACCAACTTCATGCTAGTGATACACGCTTAATAATGTTCTGTGTACGCTCTGCCAATGCAAGCCCTTTCATGTCTTCTTGTTACAAAAGTTCGTAAGAAAAGCAAGTATACTATTGACCACCTCCTGGCTTCTGGAATAGGCATATTTGTCTGAACCCTTTTTAAAAGGGTTGATTCAGAAATGAAAGCACGCAAAGAATCCCACCCAAGTGTATCTTACATTTTGGTCAGTTCTCTGGCTTCTAATTGGCTAATGTCCTTTCTCTGCTTCTGCAATTAAAGGAATATCTTAAAAAAATGGCCCTTCATGAAAATTAAATTGAGGGGAAAAGAATGGTGTGATATGGTGGTGTTGGTTGTCTAAGACATTTCGTTTTGAAGAAAGAAATTTCTTGTATGTTTGAGGTTGAGTGAATTGGTAATATCAGTCTACTAACTGATTCTAAATGGAATCGTTTTAATATTTCCTGGACTATCTTTGTGAATCTTACATTCCACCTTCATTTTTTGGGGGAAGCATATCCTGTATCTCAATTCAACGATAATCCTTATAGTATTAAAAAATTGACAGAAAGAAAAGAACAAAATGTCAGTGTTTTATCTATTGTATTGATAAGTAATGATGCAGTGCTTAGTAAAACACTGCTAAGCTTTGCATATCAAGAAATTTACAGTGAATATATTTTCATAAATACAGAAAGGGTTGACAGGAGGTGGTGTCAAGATTTTTGTTTATCATTTTTCTTAGATCAGGTAACCTTTTAAATAATCCTTACTCCTTTTCACTTTTTTGTAGCCATGAAGCTGATGACTGCTTTAGTGAATGTGGCATTAAATCTTAGTATTAACATGGACAATACACAACGGCAGTATGAAGCAGAACGAAATAAAATAATTGGGAAACGAGCTAATGATAGGCTGGAACTCTTACTACAGAAAAGAAAGGAGGTTAGTGCAACTGTCTGTAGCTGGTGTGCATAGGATGAGTGTTGATAAATGACAATAATTAATCTTGTTCTGTAATTTTTTTTTTAAAGGTAGTTATTAGTCCCTCTGTTTCATTCTTTAAGTTGTTCATGTTTAATGTTTGAAAAACTTAATTATTTTGAAAGGTGCTTCTTACTGCCTGGTTTTCTGTAAAAAAGAGATAAATGTAGACTCTTAAAAAATTTTCAGATAGTGCTGTCTTGGTAAAGTTAGCAAGAGAGACTGCAATCAGTAACAGATAATTTTTTGTTGTATTTCTTGACTAGTTTCCTAAACTGAACTCAAATATGTAACAAAAATTACCATACATTGACTGATTTTGGCTTCTAGAGAAGAACCTCATGATCTTGGGACAAAATACAGCTTTTATGATGTCAATACCGATCTCAGCAGAAAGTGTGTTTAAAGGCTTTACAGAATACACTATCAAAATTGAAAATGCAATCTACTTCTATTTTCTTTCTTTTTGTGTAAAAGGGACTTGCTGATTCATTGCTGACAGTGCTGTCTTGTTGAAAGCCCTGATTCATTCAGGTTTAAGTTTTTATTTTTTGAGGAACTGGTGTTTAGTTTTGGTTGTGGGTTTGTTTTTTTTCGTTTGTTTTGTTTTAGACATTAGAAATAACCTTCCCATGTTCAAAGGAAACATCTCACCTTTGCTCTTCAACTTTTGTGCTGTTACCTGTTAAGTTAATGTTTTTTCTTTCTTGACAATTCAGATAAACAAACAACTTTGTCTTCTGTTCATCTCATAAAGATCTTGCAGTTTGAGACTGATCCCTTAAACACCCATTAAATGTAGTTGTGCTAGATGCGTGTGCATCTCTTATAAGTAATACACAGAAAAGGCAGTGATGTGAGAATCAAGACTTTTCCCAATCTCAATTGCTCTTATGTATATTGGCTTTTAGGATTTCTTACCAGCTTTTCTAGTTTTGGTTTTGATTTTCTGTTTTTCTTGTGCTAAATGATAATTAAGTAAGCTTCAAAGTAACATTCAGTTTGTTTGATTTTGGGTTTTGTTTCATTTATAACTCAGCCTTATCCAGTACTAAAATTAAATTTATTCATTGATTCTTTTTGTATCTTTTGTTTTAATATTTTGAAATTTTTTTCCGTCTTCCTACTTCAGAGGCTACTGTGGGCAAGTGTTAGATTTAGGCCCAGAACATGTTAAATATTTTGCTTTGTTAGTCCTTTTCTCCTGCTGCTTAGTCTTTTTCTTCTTACTGTATTTCCTTACAGTTTTTCCTTTCTTCCATAAATTCCTAAATCTTGTGATGCTATGGAAATTGTTCATTCTTGCTGTTTTTTCTAAACTTCTGTACGAGAGGTCCTTTACCTTTTGTATCCATTCCCCTGCATGTGCACATCTCCCCCATCTGGGTAATATCTCTGGTGGTTTCTTTGTGGGGGTGTTTTTGGATGGATTGGGGGGGGCATGGGGTGTGGAGTTGTTTGTGGGTGTCTTCTCCCCCCCCAGTCTGATCCACCAACATGTCAACTTCCTCAGTCCTTGACTATTCTCATTAACATTGTCTCAATTTGTCCTACCGTTATAGTTCAAACTGCAAAAAGAATATGCTTGTCTGCTAACAGTATTTAGTTATTTTCAAATCTTTTAAAGGACTTCCTTGCACTTTCAAAGCAAATACAATTTTCTGTGTTTTAAAACACTGCATGTATTACTTTTCAACTCTTGTTGAACTCACTGCATGTCTTGCTCTTGTGTTGTTACTCTGAGACTGGCTTTGTCTCCTCCTTTATTTTTCAGCTCCATATTCTTAAACTAACTTTTTCTGCAATACCTTACTCAGTTTCTGCATTTGTTTTCTCTCTAATTAAGTAATGGATGAGGAGGAAAGAGGTATTCAAAACAGAGTATATGCTGCTCATGTAGCCATTTGCAAAGTTCTTCATCTGTATCTTGTCTTTTTAGACCACAAATTCTTTAGCATACAGAAAAGACTCCTTGTAATGCAGTTCACATGATTTGGGTATTGTTGTAATGATACGTGTCCATAAAAACATAGTAAGTGTATTAAAAATTGGGCTGAACATTGGGCTTAAAAAGTTACTAGAAAATTAAATCAAGTTTTCTTATAAATAACTTAAGAAGGGCCTTGCAGAAACCTAAGATGTCTTAGTTACAGTTGAAGAACAGTTTTCCAGTGGTCAGAATTACTGAAATTTGTATGCTGTGGTAGATACAATTCCTTAAATAATAGCATATTGTACTGTGAAACAGATTTGTGAATATTTCAGGAAAGGATTTAATGGCCACACTTGCAAATGTTAACTTAATTTAGTTTGTCTAGCATCAGCACCATCTGATCTGACTGTAAAAGTGCTGCTCACTGTTTATGTATTCTGTTCATTCTTTCAGCTTCAGGAAAATCAGGATGAAATAGAAAACATGATGAATGCAATATTTAAAGGTGTTTTTGTGCATAGATACCGGTAAGTTTCTCTTAGTAAGTAACTTGTAGCTCCATTAATTTATTTTGGAAGCTGGTGACAAGTTATTTCTAATTATTCATCTGTTTGATCCTATTGTCCCACTTCTCTCCACAGAGATGCAATTGCTGAAATAAGAGCTATCTGTATTGAAGAGATTGGAATATGGATGAAGATGTACAGTGACGCCTTTCTAAATGACAGCTACCTAAAATACGTAGGGTGGACTATGCATGATAAGGTAAGCTGCATTGAGGAAAAGGAACAGAACCACGAAGCATAACTCCGTGTTTTTGGTTGTTGATCTTGCCAGACTAGGTTCTGATCTCTTAACTGTTTTAATCAGTCACTGCTTTTCTTAACACTCGGAAGCACTGGCGTTTTTTTTATGTATTAAAAAAATAGACTTGAATATTTTGAATGGTTTTAGAGAGTATATATAGATTTTTAAGGAACTGTTATTTGTAAGGAAATGGCTTTTTCTATTTATTTATTGCTGATAGAGACTTGTACTTTATAATACTTAACTATTTAAAATTAATGCATTTCACATGGAATAGTCCAGTCATATAGCCTAACAGTTTCTCTGTTTTGCCAAGTTAAGAAACTTCTTAGCATTCTTAGCTAGCTGTAAAAAACATGGGAAAAGTCCCCGTTTGTGCTGATGAGCGCCTCAAGCTGTTACTTACCAGCTATTAGCTAGAGATTATTCTCTGCTTGGAGTGGTCAACAGGTATAGTTTACAAATACTCCTCATTCATTGTTGAGTCAGCACATTGCCTCAGTTCTTGCATTGGAGACTTCAAGCTATCGAATTTGAAGTGAAACAAATGAGGGATGCTCACTCATGCTATGCTGTTCATGGGTTTGGTATCAAAAAACCCAATAACCTCTGGCAGTGGGGTGATAAGAAACTGCGAAGTCAGTTGTCCTAGACTTTTGAAAAGTATTTCTGTATCTATACCGTAAAACATGTTCTCTGCTAAAGTAGATCTTGTACTTCAGAAGGAGTATTTCTCTCTGTGTCTACTTGGTAATTCTGATCTAACATGAGATGGTCGTTAACGATATAGATGTTAACAGCTTTAAGTGAAAGGAAACACATAGAATTCTACTTAGAAATATCTCGAGCATTTAGAATACATCTTTATAGAATGAAACGTGTATTTTGACTTACAGAGATACTAACTGCAATAAGACATTGGAGGGGTTTCTTTGGTGGCTTTTTTTTTCCCCCTTCATTGGCTTGTTACAAACAAGGACATACTCTTATGTTATTAACATGATTATTGATAGTATATCTTGACCACATTTAATCTTTGTTTTTGAATTAATTCAGACTGCAAAAGAAACTTGTCTGATTTGAAGATCACATCTGTATCCTATACTTGACTTTTAATCCAGTTCTTAATTTTATTTTAGCAAGGGGAAGTAAGACTCAAATGCCTAACTGCTTTGCAAGGGCTTTACTATAATAAAGAGCTTAATTCCAAATTGGAACTCTTCACCAGTCGGTTCAAGGTTAGTGTAACTTCATATTTTTAAGTACGTATGAATTTTTTTAAAGTTGTATTACACTTCTTTCCTCTTTGAAAATACTTTCTTTTGTGTTCTTAGGATAGAATTGTGTCTATGACTCTTGACAAAGAATATGATGTTGCAGTCCAAGCAATAAAATTACTCACTCTTGTTTTACAGTAAGTACATGTATATCTCCTTATCTGACCTACAACAAATATTAAAAGTATTTCTCATACCTGTGGGTGAGGACAGCAGCTTGGCAGAATTCAGATAATCCAAAGTCTAGAGAAATGTCTACGCATCTTACACTCAAACAAATTGGACTTTCAAAAGTAATCTGGCTAGAACAGTGTTGTTACTTATCTACCACAGTTAAGTAAGTGTAACAGTTAGAAACTTAGAATTCAACCTCCCTAATTCGAAGCTATTGTGGAATATTTGAACTGAAGAAATATAGGATGTATTGAACATTAAACAGTAGTTGAACTTTTCAGCATAATCTTCTACCAAACGCTCGTACTTTATCAGTAATTTTTCTTTAGGAAGACTTTGGAACTAAGCTATCTTGTTTTGGGTTTTAGGATGACAACTTGAAGGAAAAGGTTTAGATTCTCCTTCATTTCCATCTCCCTCATTAGAGTTCATACTCTGTTGACTCAGCTTTTTTTTTTCTTTCTTTCTTTCTTTCTTTCCTTCTTCCCATCTCCACCCCTAGGAGTAGTGAAGAAGTTCTGACTGCAGAAGACTGTGAAAATGTCTACCATCTGGTTTATTCAGCTCATCGGCCAGTAGCAGTTGCCGCAGGGGAATTTCTTTATAAAAAGTAAGGTGGAGAAATTATAGTTAACTTCTTGTTTGTGTAGATTTCAGTGTGTGTAGTAATACTATGATTCTCACTAGTTTTAATTAAGAAAAGGAAAAACTGAATAATGAAGTGGCCTTAAGAGAAATAACTTACAGAAAATGTGACATTACTTTATTTTTTGAACTGTTGCAGTTTTTCTGAATGGGAAGTAGAGAGTAATTTTGGAGGCTGCACTTTAAAAACTTGTACCTACAGGGAATATAATTAAAACATTCCTCTGTCTTCTTTCCCGTCCTTCCTGTGTTCTGTGAAACATCTTAAAATGCTCACGTAGTTTAGTACCTTAGTGCTTGCATTATAACGAGTATTTTCCCATTTGTAGTTCCTCCTCTTCATTTTTCTGGAGGAAAAAAAAACCCCAACAACAAAAGGAGAGATTCAACACATATATCAGGTGTGTAGGGAAACAAAATAGAGTTTCCACCTAATACTTTTCAGACCTTCTTCCAGTATTTCTTTGCTGCTTTAAAGTCTCATGTGGGGGAGGTTCAGAAAATGTAGTTTGCTAAAGAAGAGCATGGGACCTCAAGCACCTGCAATTATCACTGATGTTTGTAAAGTATTTTGTTATAATTATACATTCCACTGGAAACAGTCAGTGAAATACCAACTCAGCATATATGAAATTGTTCAAATGATACATTTATTTTCTTTCAAAATAACATGTGGAGCCAAGCAGCAAGGTATTAAGTGTGTGTCTGTAAAAAAAACAATATCTTGATATGAATTGGCTGTGGCAAAGGCAATGAAGAAGAAACTTGTCCTGAAATAATTTTTCCTTTAGGCTTTTCAGCCGCAGAGATCCTGAAGACGATGGAATACTTAAAAGGAGGGGAAGACAAAGTCCGAATGCTAATCTTGTGAAGACATTAGTGTTTTTCTTTTTGGAAAGTGAAGTAAGTTGAGTTTCAGGGATATCCTTGTTTTTGTGGTGTGTGTTTTGTGGGTTTTTTGTTCTTTTTTTTTTTTTGGTTTTTGTTTTGGTGTGTTTTGTTTTAATTATTATTTAATTTGTTGTTTTTCTTTTCCCCACTCATTGGTTAATAACCATGAATCTGTCCTGGTTTTCCTATTATTTGAGCAACCTGGGGGTCAAAAGACTGGTGTGGTTGTGTTTATTTGAAGAATCTGTCCAGTACACAGTGTTGAGTACTGTCTACTCTGACAAATATTCGTCTGTCATTCTTTATGCTAATACATAGGTGGAAAGAAATTGTGATTTAGGAGATTTATAAGGGGGGAGGGGAAAAATACCCCAAACAAACAAAAAAACCCCACAACCTACCCCCCACCCCCCCTTCAAGTTTTGGCAGATCTTGTAGCACTACTCTTTGTAGCAGTTGGTCTGGATTAATCTTTTTAAGTTAATTGGGGAAGAGAGGCTTCTGTTGAACCAGAGAGCTCGCAAAATTTTCTCTTTTTTTTTTTTTTGCCACAGACAGGAGCCAAGCGAGAAAAATACCCTGTATTATAGCAAGTTCTGTAATGAACTTTATTGCTGATAAAGAAAAATACTTATTCTGTTCTCATTTTAGTTGCATGAACATGCTGCTTATCTTGTGGACAGCATGTGGGACTGTGCAACAGACCTCTTGAAGGACTGGGAATGTATGAACAGTCTTCTGTTGGAGGAGCCTCTCAATGGAGAAGAACGTAAGAAATTTTCGTAGATCTTTATGTTGCTATGCAGTTTCTGTTAGTCTTGATTTATAAGGAAATAAGATGCTTACATTTATGAGTCCACATATATTCTCTATTTTTACATGACTATAATAAATCACTAATACTAATTATAAAATGTGAGGAAGAGTAGAAAGAGATCACTTCTGGTACGGAAGTGAGACACACAAGAACAACGGTGGGAAGAAAAGAGGGAGAAGAGAGGGAATAAGCATGCAGTGTCCAGTTGTCCTATTGTTCCACAGGTTCAGGCTGTACTTCTGGCTTTAGAGAAACTAAGTTGCTTGTGAAACTGGTTCATTTATGGAGCGTTAAAACTACCCTATGGAAAATACCGTAATTTCTTTAATGACAGTAAAACCAAACAAGCCCCCTGGCATAATTCTGTAATTCATAGGTCCTAGTAAATGGACCTCTAAAAAAATGAAAAGGAACTAAAATGATTATAAAGCTTGGTATTTGTTTCATCCTGTCCTGTGACTCATCCAGTGATACTCCCTCAATTTTAAATATTTTCTTGTGTTATTTTATAAGGTGCTTATCTTCTCTATCCCATGTCACACCCATCCCTGGAAATGAGCTATTGGCCTAAATGCCTTTCTTTTTTTCTTTAAAAAAAAAAAAACAGAAGGAAAATCGGCAAGACACAAAAGACAGAGGAAGGCAGAAACAGATGAACAGAGATGGGCTTCGAAATAGCTAATAGACTTTTGGCTAGGACACTAAAATTAGATTTTTGTGAAAACCCAAGTCCATTCCTTAGGCTAAATAAAAAAAAGTAGGAATTCAAACCTAGGTCTCACAAATCCCATCTGAGAGCTACAACTGTCAAGTTATTTCGCTTTTTTGAAGGTGAGTCCCTGTTTCCAAGCAATGCTCTGTCGAAATGGTACATTTCCACAGCATCTCATTTGGACATCAGGCCTTTTCCAATTTGTCAACATTTCCAACCAGCCATAGTTACAGGACTGCATCCTCATTGTCAGACTCGCAGAATGGTTGCCTGAGGCTACCTCTATGCAAGCCCAGAAATTCAACCTGGCATAAAGACAGAGCATTTTAATTTTTTTTTTCTTTTTTTTTTTTTTGCCACAGACAGGAGCCAAGCGAGAAAAATACCCTGTATTATAGCAAGTTCTGTAATGAACTTTATTGCTGATAAAGAAAAATACTTATTCTGTTCTCATTTTAGTTGCATGAACATGCTGCTTATCTTGTGGACAGCATGTGGGACTGTGCAACAGACCTCTTGAAGGACTGGGAATGTATGAACAGTCTTCTGTTGGAGGAGCCTCTCAATGGAGAAGAACGTAAGAAATTTTCGTAGATCTTTATGTTGCTATGCAGTTTCTGTTAGTCTTGATTTATAAGGAAATAAGATGCTTACATTTATGAGTCCACATATATTCTCTATTTTTACATGACTATAATAAATCACTAATACTAATTATAAAATGTGAGGAAGAGTAGAAAGAGATCACTTCTGGTACGGAAGTGAGACACACAAGAACAACGGTGGGAAGAAAAGAGGGAGAAGAGAGGGAATAAGCATGCAGTGTCCAGTTGTCCTATTGTTCCACAGGTTCAGGCTGTACTTCTGGCTTTAGAGAAACTAAGTTGCTTGTGAAACTGGTTCATTTATGGAGCGTTAAAACTACCCTATGGAAAATACCGTAATTTCTTTAATGACAGTAAAACCAAACAAGCCCCCTGGCATAATTCTGTAATTCATAGGTCCTAGTAAATGGACCTCTAAAAAAATGAAAAGGAACTAAAATGATTATAAAGCTTGGTATTTGTTTCATCCTGTCCTGTGACTCATCCAGTGATACTCCCTCAATTTTAAATATTTTCTTGTGTTATTTTATAAGGTGCTTATCTTCTCTATCCCATGTCACACCCATCCCTGGAAATGAGCTATTGGCCTAAATGCCTTTCTTTTTTTCTTTAAAAAAAAAAAACACAAACATATTTTGATCCTTAGATACTAATACTTGTGGAAAATGAAAAATCAAGCTGTGTATTAACATCTGTTTCTTAAATTTCAGCTTTAACGGATAGACAGGAAAGCGCACTGATTGAAATAATGCTTTGTACAATTCGGCAAGCAGCTGAATGTCATCCTCCTGTGGGAAGAGGAACAGGGAAAAGGGTAGGAAGCAAAAAGCTACTCGTCTAGAGATGTGGGAGTGGCTGTGTGGGGACAGTGTGGGAATAAGGAAAAGGTGGTAGGCTGTTGCTGCTGAAGGGACTGAATTCAGAAGTTCAGCTTTGGTCTCCACAGCCTCCAGTATCTGACTACCCTGGCTAGTTCACTTTTTCTGGACTTTGGCACGTGCTTAATACTGTTTGGACTACTGCATTTGTTTTTACTATTAAAGGTAATACAAAACTGATTTTGAAAGAAGTATTGGTTGGAAAGGAGAACAAAAATCAATGTTTGGGAAAGCTAAAACTATTTTCAGTTTGAAAGAGCAAAATGAGGGAAGGGAATATACTTCATGGTCTCTTTGGAAGGAGGACAGTCTTTTCTCTGATTATATAGAGTTTAGGCAGCCTTCTTTTACTGGGATATTAAGCAAGGAAGGGAACTGCTTTCAAGACTGGTGCAGCTTTTGGTAAGAAACCCATTTAGGTACAGATTGAAAACTTGTATGAAGATCAGATTGACATGTGAACTGAGTAAATATCATCAAAAATCCTAAGTAAGCTGAGAAGTTTGCTGTTCTTTCATTGTCAAGAAAAGCATTCTGATGATGGTATTTTGTTGCAGGGAAGGTAAACCTTTTGTTCTAGATTGTCACTTCTGTTTTCAAGATAATCTCAATAGTATTAGGCATAACTTTGAATTGCATTTTTTTGAGTGCTGAACATTGGGTTTTTTATTGGCTTTTTTTTTTTACATTGATATTTTACAGCGATATTAGAATGTCTGTGTACCTAATATTCATTTCATTAATGATAATGAAACTTTGCACCACAACTTTTAGTTGTAAATCCTCACAATACCAATATTTTAGGTGCTGACAGCAAAGGAAAAGAAAACCCAGCTGGATGACAGGACAAAAATTACTGAACTTTTTGCAGTGGCACTTCCTCAGTTGCTAGCAAAGGTAGGTTTAATTCCATTTCTTGCTGATGGACTGTCATTGAAATGTTAACAACTATAGTTTCTGTAATTAACTGTATGGCTTGCACAAGTCTTCATTTTTTCTTACTGGTCTTTATTAATATTTGATTGTTCTATAACGAATTGTGTTGTCCAAGACTTTTGCATTTGAACTTTTTTCCATGTCAATTTTACAGTATTCTGTAGATGCAGAAAAAGTCACCAACTTATTGCAGTTGCCACAGTACTTTGATTTGGAAATTTATACAACAGGGCGATTAGAAAAGGTAAGGTAACATTCAATAACATTTAACACAAAAGGAGAAAACCCAGAATTTAGACTTAGTCACTGGAATTTCAGTCACCATTGTAGGTGCGTTTTTTTGTATAAGTGAGACTTTATTTATCGTAACCCTTATTGAGAATGAGACTTGGACTTCAGAGCTGTGACTGGCTGCTGTTCTTAGAGATACTGAAAGTTTGAGTTTTCTAAGGCCTGTCTAGTGAGTTTTAACAGAGAATCTTGCCAGTTACATGAACTTCATGCGAGAGCATTTATTGTTGGGTTATGGTCATGCTTGAGGTATGCTGCCTGACAGATAAAGATTGTAGAAACAGCTTGATAAGTTTTCTCTTTCCGATCACTGAAACTAATAAACCACCATCTTCATTGCATGAAAAAGAGGAAAACTACCTGATCACAAATTATGTAGTTACTGCTCTCATTTTATCTGCTATGGTGATGAAGTTGGTGTAAGCTGTTCTCATATTTATTTTCTCCTTCTCAGATGCACTGTTTTGCTGTACTGTGAAGCAAGTAGCTGGAAATCATTAGGTTCAAAAAAGAAATAAAATGTTTAGTTGCCAGCATAGCTAGCACTGATAGAGCAGCAGTGAGCAACAACTGAAGTTGGTTTCAGTGCTGACACTTGAGTGTTATGCAACTAAATCTTCAATTATACAGCTTTTAAGACCATGTATAAATGTTTGTGTGAGTGGGAGATAAATGCTTCTGTGTTGTTCGGTTGTCATTGCAAATTCAAGTGTTAGATAAAACCATACCAACAATTGCAAATTTTTAATGGCTTTTTAAAATGCATTGAATCTTTAGCCTTTGACAATCTCCTACTTAATTTTTGCTAAATAGATTTTTAATTTACTCAGAAGCTCCACAGCTTTCTAGAAGTGTTTTGTGTTCTGAATCACAGTTACAAAAGTAATAAATTGAATTTATCTTTTAAAATTCCTTAAGGTTTATTAAAATACGTGTGTGTGTGTGTATATATACGAATACATATTTTTTTTCCCCACGCTTCATCTTTCTTGTAGCATTTGGATGCCTTACTGAGACAAATCCGGGATATTGTGGAGAAGCACACAGATATAGATGTTTTGGAAGCCTGTTCAAAAACATACCACGCTCTCTGTAATGAAGAATTCACAATCTTTAACAGGGTTGACATTGCAAGAAGTCAGTTAATAGATGAATTGGCAGACAAGTTTAATCGACTTCTTGAAGACTTCCTGCAAGAGGTATTTTAATGTGCAAGATCAACTTTTCCTGCCCCTGTAAATATTTCCAGTATGTTTTTCTGCCTTCCTATGCAAGTCAATGAGTTAGGGATGGGAACTTCCCTCTGATTTTCAAAACTGTTAAGTCAAGCACAATAATACAACAGTATCATTGCTGTGATTATGTGAACTCAGACTGTTCTTTTGTATTAGGACAGCGAGTCTTTAATTTTAATCTCCTTTTGACAAGTGTCTTTTGGGAATTTGAGATAAGTTTCAGATAAACTATGAAATCACATAAACTTTTCACCTTTAGGTTTTGAAGCTCATGTTTTTGAGAGATGTAGCATTGTAATTCCACTAGGATTCTCCTCAGATGTACTGGTGTTGCTAGTCTTGCCTGTGATTGCATGTTGCTGTTGTTAAATATCAAAATCTCTAGAAAACACTCCCCCTCCCTTCCTGAATGCAAGCAGATGCAGTTAATAGCTTAAAAATGACTTTGTTCCCACACTGTGCTAATCTGAAGAGTGAGAATTTTCTGATACAGTATTTAACTTCACTATGTGGGACCTCTGACATTCAGACAAAACTTGTTTCTCCTCCTCCTCATCTGTGATAAGGAGCATGGGAAGTGTCTTTTTGACTACTTCATTCTCCACGCTTCTCAGATCCATACTTTATCAAGCTTTGCTCCTGTTCTTCTTGCTTATTGGCCTGAACTAGGACTCCACTGTAGAAACCCTAGACACATGTGGACTATGTAAGAAATGTGCCTAGTAATCCATTTATTTCCTCCTTTGTAAGAAAAAGAAAGAATGAGAGGTAAAGCAAAGAAATGAAATGTCAGATGGTTGGCTTGGAGGAAAATGGCAAATACCCCGGTGAAAGCATTGAAATCCATAGTGCTTTGATAAGGTTGTGCAACTACAGAACAGTAAAATGCATTGAACTTGCAGTATCTCTGATAGTTTATCCTATGTACTTAAATAGATACTTTTGGACCCTTTCCTTTTTACTCCTTTTCTTTCTCCAAAGGCAAGTTTGTAAGAACTTGTGGGAAAATTAGGACAAAACACTTCCCTTACCTCTCTCAAAGACTTTTTTCTGTGATTAAAGTAAGATTGAGGTACTGACCTGTGGCCCCATCTAGTCCAGTATCTATTGTCTGACAGTGGCCTCTGCTGGATTCTTCAGAGAAAATTGAAGCACCTACATAATACATTGTATTCTGCTATCCTAGATATCCCCCCTCCCCCCCCATTTCTCCTTGTGCTGGTGACTATTTCTAAACATGAATGCTGCCTTCTCTCTCAAACTCTTTAACTCTTCTAAAACCAAATGTGTCATTTATAAATAATTTCGATGCAGCGTGCGCTCTCTCGTTGTTGTTGGTTGGGTTTGGGGGGTGTTTTAGGGTTTGGTGGTTTTGGTTTTTTAAATCTTGTTAAGTTCCCTAGTTTGCTTAGCATACATTGCTTAGGATACCTTACTATATGATTATTAAATAGGGGGAGGAACCTGATGAAGATGATGCATATCAAGTCTTGTCAACACTGAAGAGAATCACAGCTTTTCACAAGTAAGTAGGCTTCTGCAAACATCTGTCAGGGTTTGCGGTGTGTGGGGTTTTTGTTTTGTTTTTAATTTGATATTAACTTTTTAATGCAACTTGGAGGTTTTTTGTTTAGTGTGAATGATTGAGTGTTGTGCAGAACGTGACACACTGAAATCTGGGGGTTTTTTTGCTTTGTGGTTTTTTTTTTGTTGTTGGGAGTGTTTTTTGTTGGGTTTGGGGGGTGTATTTCTGGGTTTGTTTGTTTGTTTTAGACCAGTTAAGCTTTCAGTAGTTGTTAATGTCAAATTGCAGAAATGGTGTTAGTTAAATTACATCTTTGCTTCATTTCTAATGCTTCCAGTGCTCACGACCTATCAAGATGGGACTTGTTTGGCTGCAACTACAAGTTACTGAAAACTGGCATTGAAAATGGAGACATGCCAGAACAGGTCTGTAGTTACAGTGTGTGCTTTAGGTACAACAATAAATAGCTTTTGTTGCTGTCTTTTATTGGCTTTTGTCATCTAATGCATTTTTTCCTTTTGATTTCAGATTGTTATTCATGCACTGCAGTGTACTCATTATGTAATCCTTTGGCAGCTAGCAAAAATTACTGAAAGCAGTTCCACAAAGGTATGCCTTGTTCCAGTTGTATTAGTAAATAAACATTTGTATATACCTGCAGTGTCATCAAGTGGGAACTGTGATGGAATTAATTAAGACTAAGAATATATATTTTTTTTAATACCGATACCTGCCTAAATATTGCTTTTCTAATAAGTTCTTCTGAATTCATAGTTTTAGTAGTGGAATGCTTGACTTTTAAACCTAGTGTTTCTCTAAATTGTTATGTTTTTATTATTTAAATGTCAATATTATTTTTAATTTGACAGAATTGTAAAGTATTTGTAGTAAATTAATGCAGTATCTATTAGTCTGGCACAATAACAATGCTAAGGAGGGGTAGAATACCAATTATAAAACACAGTATAGTCAGTCTTACTACTCTCAAGTAGTGGGTTTGAATTTGTTTGCAAACTGTGAAGTATCGGTGCCAAGTCAGTGAGATATAAGAATTTGCACGCTACCGTAGTATTCTTACTGCTCTGTATGTTACAATCATACTTTGCTCTTCATCAGTCTTTTAAATGCATTGTTGAATAAAGACATGAAAAGATTAAGTTAAATTTCAGACTTTCTCAGGAAATAATAAGAGGGCCTGTGTTCTGGTTCTGTGTATAGTAATCTTGAAGGGCAAAGCTCTGGCAAATGTCATCTTTCTAATTTCACTTCTTGAAAAATGTTGGAGGAAGGATTAAGGTTTCTTGTATCCACTGGACAGCATTGGTTAAAGAGGGTGATTAGGTGGTTTGCTGTGCGAACTGCCTAGTAAAAGATGGTTTTTGAAAGGCTAGATAGTTTAGAATGGAGTTTGTAAGTGCTGAAACATCTTGATGAATTCTTTAACTAAAAAAAAAAAGTTATAATCAAACATACTTTTTCTGGAAGCCTTCTACAGTCCTGTAAGAAGGGTACATTTTGTGCTCTTTCACTGGAAATTTACACTGGAGTTGCACTTTTTTATTGGAGTTACTGATAACACATCCTTTATTTATGTCAGAGATGAAATAAATAAGTTCTTCAGTTTCTTTAAACACTCTGATTGCCATATTTATAATTAATTTAAGAAAAAAGTTGTATGCGTATGTCACAATTTACTAGGGAGAAAACAGAACTCACGACATTAATAATTTATAATCAATAAATTGTAATTTGTAATTAAAATTTTTATTTATCACAATAAACATTTTAATGTGAGGATGTATACATTTTTTTTCTTTTTTCTTTATTTTAGGGTGTGGTAGTGTGAGCTCCTGGTAGATACAGGAGTGGAGAAGCATGCTATGTAACTTGTACTAACGTTTTTTATAACAGAACACCTTTGTGAGATCATGGTGTTTTTTCTTCTCCCCCCCCCATCACGTTAAGACTTCATTAGTCCAATGAATAATTGCGGCCTTACTGATTCAATAATTACGATCTGAAGGTGTGTTAAATAAATGTGAACTTCTTCAACACTGCTAGTTTACCATCGAGGTTTTAACGGCTTCTAACATTACCAAAACCAAAAATACCAGCTATGAAGTGGATACATAGATTGTTGAGAACCACTTTCGTGAAGGATTTGGAGGTTTTGTTAGCTTATTCTTTAAAGGATAAACAGGCAGTCTGAGTTTTTTGTAATAGTGATTAAAGCTTTATCACAAGCCTGACGGCAGAAGCGGAGCTAAATACTGAAAAGTTAGGTTAGAAATGAAGATTAACTTAGCTATTTTGCAGTAAAATGTAGTCTGTAGTACTTTCAGCAGGAATGAAAAGAACTTATTTGAAAAGTGGTCCTTTATTGAGATTATTTTCTGCTCCTGCATAATAAAATTTGGTAAATTAAAGCTTTCGTAGGTTTAACTTTTGAACCACAACTATTTTATTATATTTAACTGGTTGACTGCTGCCAAATATACCAGGTACGTACAGAAGTTCCATTGATTTCTGGTCAATGCCAATGGAACATAACAGCGAAGGAGTTGAAGCACAGAACCAGAAGTGACGGAAATGTACTGTGCCTAAAGATTTTTTTTGTTTGGTTGAGTTTTTTTGGTTTTTTTGTTCTGTGACAAAATTAGCTGCTAACTGCGTGCGTGCTGTTTGTGAACAGGTTGATTAGGTATGGGAATTAGCTTCATAATATAGGCTGCTAAAATAAAAGACTATATAAATAGTTCACATCTTATTAAAATTTAAACAAAGAATTCTGTATAAAGGAAAGAAAATATTCCCATGTGCAATTCTCTTAACATCAGTATAGTAATCTGAATTTTAAATATTGAGAGAAAAGGTTTTATGTAGTGAAGGTGTTCTAAAATCATATTATACTTAAACTCATAGTCAAGAAGCAGCTGTTGCTTTTGTGATTCCTGCTGAGATTAAATGATGCGTTGGTCCAGTGTGTTACCTGCTTTCTTGAAGGGAGAGACTTGTTTTGGTTTAGATTGCATGGATAGTTTTTGAAATTATCTCAGCGGTATTTCTTCTTTGTCTGGACTGATGCTGGTTACACAGTTGGTCTTCTGTAATATGACTTCCCCAGTTCTACATGGGCTAGAATCTTCACATGATTGAGTAACACCAACTGTGCCACACATGTGGATGGTATCTGTACCAATTTGATACTTTATTTGCTCAATAATCTACTTTTCTGGAAGTTATTGCAACACTTAAAGCTACTTTTTTTTCTTTTTTCTTTTTTTTTTTTTAAAATGGAAGAGGGGAAGAAAACCCTAACTATCATCTCACATTTTACTTTATCCCCAAGCAGTGAGTTAAAAAAATAAAATAATACCATGTAGCCATGTCTGTTTTAGCTATAAACAGCTACCTAAAATCTGTGGTCTAGGTTGAAAATACAGATATTTTAAAGAGAAAATGCTTTATGGTCTGAGTTGTATTTTTTGGTGGGGGTGGGGTTTTTTTAGGTTTGGTTTTGGGTTTTTTTTGTTACTCTTTTTTTAATAAATAACTTCACTATTTTCATCCCAACGTCCATTTCTTTTTGTGGTACACAGGATGACAAAATTGCGGAAGTTGCTAATTGCTATTTTTATTTGTAATAGTGATTTTTTTAAATAATGCAGTGGACTTGAATGTTACAACTATGTACGAGGTCTGTGGTGGATAGCTCTGTGAAAATGCATACACTAAATGTGACTATAAAATTGAAAAAGCAAAACTGTTACATGAAATCCTTCTCTTTGAAGGAGGATCTTCTACGTCTAAAGAAGCAGATGAGAGTATTCTGTCAAATCTGTCAACACTACCTGACCAATGTAAACACTGCTGTTAAGGAACAGGTTAGTGACTGTTGTTTGTCCTTGTAGTATTCTAATATTATACTTTTAAAGCAGTTGAAAAGTTCCTCTTGCTAATACTTTTAGTGCTTATGTGGGAATGTGGTATGTCTTGGATGTTTAGGCTGAATGCCCTTTGAGTGTGAATACATACTGTACTTGTATGCTTGCCCTCCTTTAGGTAATTTAGGTAGGATTTCAGAATCAATTTAAACTTGATTCTTTCTAGTAATTTTAGGCAGCATAAACTCTTATTCAAAGGGGGGTTTTGTTTGTTTATTTAAACAGTGACTGGGCAGGCGCACTGTAGAAGCATTCTGGTTTGTAAGTTAGGTTGGAGAATTCCCTTTCAAAGCTCTTGCTTACCATGTGGTCATGACATCTCCAGTGGAGCTGATTGTGGATTCATAGACTCAGAGCTGGAAGAGCTAGGGACAGCTATTTAAATTAAAAAAGAGATTTTTTTTTTTTTTTTATGATTCTATCTTTGAATGCTTTTACGTTCCCACATTTGTACTGTGACATATATGTGCCCATCCACTCAGGAGCTGTGAAAACAACTTTCCTCCTCTTGCTGTAAACCTGTGAGGACATAGAGGGGCAACTTCTCTGTCTGTTCCCCTTTACCATGATGCTGCATGCAGAATATATTCCTCAGTTCTTCAGAGTCCCAGGATTTTGGGGATCTCTGAATCAGGAGAAAAAGAACGGGTACTTAACATGAGCGTGTGTGTGTGTTTATACATGCACATGTACGCACTGTAACCTAGGGGATTTTATTGTTGGGAAGTGGTATTTCTTTTTTGTGGTCACCCTTAGGTACAATCACACACTGGTCAATTGTTAACAGTATTGTTTAGAGATATTTGGAGACCATTCTAGCAAATGCTTGGAAGCCTCAACAATGATGTACTGCTCGGAAAAGATGTGAGCAGTTTTCATTTTACCAGTTTTGTAGTCAGTCCCTCATACAGTTGTCCTTTGTGGGGGAGAGTTTTAGCTGGAACTAAGTTCTTGGCTATTTCAGACGTAAAATATGTAGGTATTTAGTCCATGCAAGTAGTGCCTGACACTTCATGAAGCAGGAGACAGAAGTCCTGGCTTTTTTGAAGAAAAATGCAGGCATGAAGGTTTTTGGGGTGTTTTTTTATTTTTCTTCTGTTTCAAAAAGAATTGAGACGTCATCTTGGGAAATACTTTGAGTTCTGAGGGTAACAGGGTCAATGGAAAAGGTTAAACTGTAGGGGCCGAGTGTCTTCCAGTCTGTGGTCAAATAGTTCTCTAGCCAGGACACTCACAGGAGTTCCATGTTCTAGTGAAGAGCACAGGTTACTGATAGCTAAAGGTAATAATAACCTGGTTGAGCTTGAAGTTTAAAATCTGGTCCACCAAGTCACACAACTGCAGCTTTTGAAACTCTTGTTATAACAAGAACGTTCCTGGAACTCAGTAGGCATGTTCTATGTCGGAGAGCTATCTAGTGTCAAAATCACAAGGTGTAGGGTGTGAAAGTGCAAGTAACAAAAATTACTGAAGCTGTGAGTGGGTCTCTTTCTGAGACTTATATAGCCTTTTACTCAGGTGAATGATCTAGAAACTAGAACTGCCTCAGTCACATAGAGTACAATAGCCGTGGTTCTGCTTTCCTTCTCTAATCTCATGAAAAGGCACAAGGGACTTCAGAGGAGCATATGTGGTTTTGTGACCAGGAAATTAGTAATATTTGCTTTGACGAGTTAGAGAACAGAGCTGTTCGTTACAATGGAAGTACTTAACAGATTAGAGTCGAAGAGATGAGGTGCAGCACTAAGCAGTGTGTTACCTTGGTCTGTCAGTTTGCAGAATGTCAGTCTAGGTACTGATACATTTGAACTTTCCAGGGAGGTGGAGTACAGACATTTAAATCTGATGTCAGATGCACAAGTTAGCCAGCGAAAGGAAGAGGTGGTTGCTTTTTTGGAAACAAAACATACTTTAGGATTTAAAGGGATTGAATGACCTGCAGCTGTTAGATGTTTTACAAATGTGATTGAAACAACTTAAAAAAAAAAAAAAGAAAGAAGGAAGGAGACTGTACTATGGTTAGCATCCACAAAGTTCTCCAGTGACCTAATGTAGTCTCCATCAGGCAGAATTTGGGAGTTTCAGGCTCCTCATGTTGTAATCTCACAATGTTTTGATATTTAGTTGGCTTCATCTGTGCAATATTTTTATTTGGAGACCCAGTCTTCATATAGCAACCTCTTGTAAGAAACTGTGCACACTTTGACTACCAGTTGGCCTGTGTAGTTGTTTAGGACTTAAGTGGCCTGCGTACACCTCTGGGCTCTAAGTATTTTATTAAGTAGAAATACATTATTCTAAATAAAATCCAGTTTCCAAGGAAGTATTTACTAAGGTTTCTTTTTAATAGGCTTTCACAATTCTGTGTGATGTGTTGATGATCTTCAGTCATCAGATTATGACAGGAGGACGTGACATGTTGGAGCCACTTGTTTACACTCCTGATTCTTCATTGCAATCTGAACTACTCAGTTTTATTTTAGATCATGTCTTCATTGATCAGGATGATGATAATAATAGTGCAGGTTTGTACAAAACTTATGTTTCCTTTATATTATTTGCCTTCTAACTAATATATTTGTTTGCCTATGCTTTTTTGTGTGTGTTTTTTTTCTTTTCTTTTTTTCTGGCATTGAGAGGTGTGCATGGTCACAGAGGTAGGTTTGTCTTTTAAATGTCAGCAGCTGATTAAAGCATTTTATGTTTTGGGGACATGTAGGATAATCGTGGTAAAGGTTTGGTTTAATAGGCACGAATATATGTATGTCTCTGTATCAGGAAAAGAGACTTGTCAGTGGGCAATGAAGTGCACTGCCATCAGAATTGAGATTTGATTTTCTGAATCCTGACCATTAGCCCACATCACTTTATATGTAAATGCTTAAATATGAAGTATTTAAACCCGACAGTTTTCATGTTCTGAACTCTTTCTAGATGGACAGCAGGATGATGAAGCTAGCAAAATTGAAGCATTGCACAAAAGAAGAAATCTACTTGCAGCTTTCTGTAAACTCATTGTATATACTGTGGTGGAAATGAATACAGCTGCAGACATTTTCAAGCAATATATGAAGGTAAATCTTCAATATATGAAGCCTAGTAGTGATACTTCATAAAACTACTAGAATACAGTAGCTGTGGATTTTTTAAATTATTTTTTACCTTACAAGATAACTGATTCAAAATGTGAAGAATTCAAAACTCCAGAGTTGGTAGTTCGTAGGCCTTTAAAAGTTCTTTTTCCGTAAGAAGGGAAACAATGACTGAGATAAGTTTCACAGTTCCAGTGTGTGGGTAGTGGGGAGGGAGGAAGGAAACCTGATAATTATTTGTACGTTGTTTTAAATAGATTTATTTTCTTACCCTGATCGATGCTATATTTTTCAGTTATTAGTTTAGCAGGCCTTTTGAGAATCTTCTCAAAAAGATCAACTCCACGATGTCTAGCCTCATCAAATAATTTCAGCTTAAACTTTGTAGAAGAGGAAAAAAAAAAAGTTTTGAGTTTTACCCACTGCCTGCCTCCTCCCTCCCTCCCCCTCCCACAAAGCGATCTTTATATCTGTTTCTATTTTATTTAAATATAAAACCCCCTTCTTCGCTCCTGGGATTCACAGCTGCACAATAATATGAGTTCTCATTTGGGGAACATGATAAAGCTTTGCTCCTTGGTGATTACCTTAAAAAAATTAAAATTTGGGCAGCCTGCTTTTGTCTGAGTGCCCTACATATATTTTGAATCTCTAAATAACTAATTGGGTCTTTATTGAACCTGAAATACTTAAAGAACTGAACGGGCAGCTGTCTTCATTGGAAAAATAATGGCTATGATGCTATCCATAAGTCCTTCCTTTCAGCAGAGAAAATAGAAAACTCCCCACCAGAGTTACAGGAGTTACTAAAAAGATTAGATTCTAATCTTGTACCCTGAAGGGGTGAACGCGTGTCATTAACAAATGTGTCATGGCCTTGAAGATAAATAGGTCATTCTGCCTCTAAAGTGTACTAACGACAAGAATGAAAAGAAGTGGATATACTCTTTCTGATTTGAGGGTTTTTTATCATTTTTGGAGGTGTTTTAGGGTATCATTTTGATGATGTAATCATGAACATGTTAGGTTTTTTCCTTTTGAAAGTGTTCAATTTAATTTTTAAATAGCAAATCCTAGATGTTGTTTTCTGAAGAATTAGTTGTAATGTTTTCAACTAAAATCGAAAGTTAAACTTTTTTTTTATTTTTCCTAGTATTACAATGACTATGGTGATATTATTAAAGAAACGATGAGTAAAACAAGACAGATAGACAAAATCCAGTGTGCTAAAACGCTTATTCTTAGCTTGCAGCAGGTAAGAATGATTTACAATATTTTGATGCATGAAATTCCATACTGTAGATCACGTCCTGTTGTTATAGATCACGTCCTGTTGTTGTAATAGCTAATGTGAGGTATTAATGAAGAAATTCTTATGGAAGGTAGGGATAAATAGGTCTAAATTAGAACATATTTTCTGCAACTGTCTGAAAAACTGCTAGAAGTCTTCCTGTACTTACCAAATACTGTGCTACAAAAAGTGTATGTGAGAGGCTGATAAACACGAAATGAATGTAACTCTGTGATACCTTCTTAACTCTAAAACAATAGAAACGTGTTGTGAAACTGCTAGTTTACTTATTCATGAACAGATAAACAAGGGAGAACACTTCCTGCCTGCGTGGTGGGGGTTTGTGTTTTTGTTTTGTTTTAGGTTTTGTTGTTGTTGTAGTTTGGTTTTTGTTTTGCCCTTTTTTTTTTTTTTTTAAACTATTCTGAGAAGTAATAGGAAGTTTTAGTAATTTGGTATTTCTTAATGTTTGGTAGGGGCTTCACCCATCTTTGAAATTAAAACATTATTTAATGCTCTCTTCAGTAAATGAGCTTGTTTGTGTGGAGACCTGATGAATTCAGTCGAGGTCAGAGTCGGATTCATCTGCTCACATGAACCGTCTGCATGGATCTTATTTACAGGATCAGAACAATAAAGCCATGTCTCTGCAAATCACTGTAATCCAGCATAGATCTCTGCTACTGTTGAAAGGAAAAATGTACTCCAATTTGTTCCCTCTCTCCCCACACCTTTTTGTTTTTTGACTAGAGGTCATAGGGCAACATAGTGGATATAGATCTAGATACTGATCCTGGTTGAGAACTAACTGGAAAAAGTCCTTAATGAAGCCCCTAAGCTGGTTCATCTGTATGAATATTGTCAATACAAGGGAGGATGAGGCCTTTCCTTTTGATACTTTCCTTTAAGTAGCTGGTGGAACTGCAACATAAAATATGCAACTAAATACTCCTACGTTTTTTGCTGACTTTTCACCAGAGTTCACAAATTTTTGTGATATTGGGTAAATGCTATCCTTATTAGTCTTTTCTGTCTCATGAATAACCAGCCCCTTATATTTTAAAGGGCAGACGGAGGAAGTGAATGCAGTAAGTACAATTACGCACATAACAGGGAGGCAGTTACACAATCCTAATATGGCAATAAGAATAGTAACACAAGGGGACCCAAGTATTATAAAACAAACAAACAAAAAAACCCCCATGTGTGAAGTTAAACATGTAACTAGCATTTCTTCCAGGAAAACTTCTTAAAAAAACAAACAAACAAAAAAAAAACCTAACCAGAGAAGAAACACTAGAAGTGATAGTGGATAAAGGAGATAACTAAGTTGCAGTGAGCTACACCAACATAAAAGTATGCAACTATGGGCCAAAACGTATCTATAAATGACAAGTTAATGTTCATAGCCCTAGTAAGTCTGGTTTTGGTTTATTCTGTGTTATATGAGAGAGTGAAGGGTGAGTGTGTTAGACAAAATTAGAAAATAACAGAAAAATTGGCTGTTGAAGAGAATTACGGTCAAATTCAGTAGGATAAGAAAAGGATTGATCACAGAAGAAAAAGATGTTAAAGTTCAGAGTGTTCAGCTTTGCCAACTATTGATGAATAGTTAAAAGTCTGATCCTCAGTGGCAAAGTTTCTGGTGTCTTTGGCAGCTTCCCTGAAGACATGTTTCCACTTTAGAATTTCTTCATTGTACTTGTATTTTGAAAAGATTAAAAAAAAAATGATTAGAAAGTAGTAGTTTAACAAACTGTAATAGTAAAGGCCAGGTGAGAATTTACCCCATTTATTTCTTCTCTGTTAGTGTACGTATCAGGGAATCCTATTAATTTTTAGTATTCTCAACTCTAGAACACCTCATTTAGGGAAGTGCTGAAATCTGTCATCCAACGTACTTAGTTTGACATGTGCTTGGACAGTGTGCATTTCAAGGATTAACTCTGAACTGCAGACTCTTCAAGAGTAGCCTTGACTTGGCTTTCCTAAACCTCCATGTTTGTCTTTTGGGGTTGTCGAATTAAGAAAAAACCAAACGAACTGTAAAACACTTTTTTACTGAAACTTAGCTCTGTGTTGATTGGTCCAAAGTTTGGCATAATCTTTTAATAAATGGAAATCTCCCTTTTCATTTCATACAGCTTTTCAATGAAATGATTCAAGAAAATGGTTATAATTTTGACAGATCATCACCGACATTCAGTGGCATAAAGGAACTTGCTCGACGTTTTGCTTTAACGTTTGGACTGGATCAGTTGAAAACAAGAGAAGCTATTGCGATGTTACACAAGTAATTGTGTGCTTTGTGTTACTTCCCTTTTTTTAAAAGCTTCTTTACTAACATTAAAATACCTTTTCAGTCTTTCAAAATCAGTTTGTTAATACAAAATGCATCAGCACTAGAGATGATACAGCCCATTTATAAATTAGGAGATGACTGCAGTTTTGTCCCTGAATTAAATCCAAATGTTAAATAATGTTGATGTTCTTCAGCATCGTTGTATAAGCCTGTAAATGATAGCAGTGTTGGTGCTGTCATGAAAAAGTATTTTTAATGTCTTAGCTGTAACAGTAAGAACTGATCCACTTCATTGTCAGTGGTGGTCATGTTGGCCTCGTGCAGAAAGCTCGAAATGCAAGGTAGAAGCATCATGACAGAAAGAGTGCGTTCAGATTCAAACTATGAATAGTGTTCACTTTTTTGCCAGAATACGGAAGCATTGAATTATTGCTTTCTTGACGTAGAGGAAAGGTGTTCAGTTTTGATAGCTCCCAGTGCTTAGAACTTTTTCTTTTGTTTGTGCTTTATGTGACTTAATTTTAAACTTTTTCTTAGGGATGGCATAGAATTTGCTTTTAAGGAGCCTAATCCGCAAGGTGAGAGCCACCCACCATTAAATTTGGCGTTTCTTGATATTCTGAGTGAGTTCTCCTCCAAACTTCTCAGACAAGATAAAAGAACAGTGTAAGTATTTTCTTAATATTCTTAATATTTGTAATGATAACCGTAAAAGACATCTGAATAAATACATATTTATGTGCATTGCATTCACCTAAAGTGGAATCTTCGGCACATCAAGATAATTTTACACTAATGCAGTCAAGTATAATCACAAAGGGTAAATTGTATTTATCCTTGTTATTCTCATTTTATAGTGGATGAACAGAAATCATATTCTGGATTTGCTGTTGTCAGGCCTTTTTGTTAACTAGATGAGGAGCATTGGGTGTTAATTTCAGTACTTACTTATCTTGGTATGTTAACATCTTGTTACAGGTATTTTGCATCTTTGTAATTATTTTTTCCATTTAAAGGTATGTTTACTTGGAGAAGTTTATGACCTTTCAGATGTCTCTACGAAGAGAAGATGTGTGGCTTCCTCTCATGTCCTACAGAAACTCTTTATTAGCTGGTGGGGATGATGATACTATGTCAGTGATTAGTGGAATTAGTAGTCGAGGATCTACAGTAAGAAATAAGAAGACAAAGCCAGCAACAGGGAAACGGAAAGTACCTGAAGGTAGAACTTTTCTCATCTTAAAATTTACTAGAGTAGATATTCCTGTAAGCTACACATGTCAATCCCTATTTGTTAGCTTGAGTGAATTTGTATGCTTTAATGTATTTTTTTAAAACAGGATAACTTCTGTGCATGTATATGTCTTAGTGGGAAAACTGTTCATTTGAAGAGTCTGAATAACATAACACTGATTCACAAAAGGAAATAAAGGCACTACGCTGCGTTAAGTCACAGAATACAAAAGTATTTTGAATACTCTAGCCAGTGGTTATAGATCCAGGCCTTTTGGGGCACACGTAAGACTTCGTGGCAAAAAGTAAAGACATTGATTCTCAGTAAGCAGAAAGTACATGCATTTAAGTCATGTTTAAACATTCGATTTTAGACTAGTTTGAAAAAATTTACTGATGTCCTATGTTTCCTTCCAGCTGAAGAAAGCAGCAGTAGTGACAGTATGTGGTTGAACAGGGAGCAGACAATGCACACACCAGTCATGATGCAGACACCTCAGCTTACTTCTACAATAATGAGGGAGCCCAAGAGATTGCGACCTGAAGAAAGTTATATGGGTGTCTATCCTATGCAGCCTGAACACCACCAAGCTCCACTCGATTACAAGTACGTAGATGAGTAGGTCTGCTTTGTGTTAGTGTTCATACACAGAACCAGTTCATGTTTAAAATAGAATAATGGTCTTTTTAAGCACGCAAGTAACGTGGATGTTGGCTCAAAGGCAACAGGAAGAAGCCGCGCGACAACAACAGGAGAGGGCAGCGATGAACTACGTCAAGCTGAGAACCAACTTGCAACACGCTATGTGAGTGAGAGTGAAACGTTCCTTCAGTGGTTTGGGGGTGGTGGTTATTAAATGCAGTGTTACTCCTGTATCTTTTAAAAGGGGCACATGTTCTAGTTCTTGAGTAATGTTTTCCTATGTCTTAAAATTTTAAGTTGCCTTAGAAAAGCAGTGGTAAAAGTGCATGGTGATGCCTTTAGCAGAATAGATCTGTTTGGTTTCTTGCTTATTTTTGAACTTAAATTCCAGAAAAATTAAATAGTAGTGAACTTTGTAATAAAGGGAACTAGCTGTTGAACTGAATGCTATCTGTGGCAGATATATATAATCGATACAACATGTGAAACATCATCTTTATGTATTCCTAACTGCAGAATCATTTTTAGAACATCAAAAATGAGTTTTAAAATAGGAGTTCAATGTGTGAAGCAGAAAGTTTCTGCTCAGTTTAATTCTACTATTTCTTTCTCCTTTGACTTCTGAGTTGTACGTTTAGAGTTCAGCTGCTTTTTTATTTTAAAAGAAGTATTCCTTTTAAAGAAACTGCTGTCTTCGGCATTTCTGTGATCGATACAGATTTTGTCTGACCTAAACTGACACCAAAGTTGAGAGGAATCCTGTAGTACCAGTTTTGTAGAACTTCCCAACCCAAACACACAAAAACCTTGTGAAGTCCTCAATATTGTGAACGAAGATGAAGACAGTCTAGTGTTTCTTAAATGAATGTTGTCCTTCAGAAGGTCATACATTCTTACTGTAGTGTCATTTACTTCATTGTGATTCATCACGTGGTCATTTTGACATGCACGCTAATGAAATTATGTTCCAGAGGTAGTTTAGCTGAGGAGGGGAAGACTAGTTTTAGAAGTTCTCTGCTTTAGTGAAGACTGTGTGGTTCTACAGAAGAAAAGTACAAGTTGTAAACTAAAACCATGGACATACATATTGAGGAGCTTTACATCTTTCCCCAACTTGTTTTTAATTCTTTAATACCAGTACTTCATGCAATATAGTTTAGGTGGTGGGTTTTTTTTTTAAATATAGTGACACCAATTAGTATAATTAGAATGACTCCTCACTTTTCCCGTAAGGTCTGATGTTGCATGTAGAAGTTGTGAGGAAAGAGGATGAAGGACTGTGTGAGAATGTCTGTCTGAAAATGGATTTATGCATCCACTTTATCGCAAAGATGTTCTTCCTTGCCTTGTCATAAGGCAGGAACAATTTTTCTTTAGGTGGCAAAACTTACATTCTTTCTCACTTGAGCATAAATACTTGCACGGAAATCTCTGAATTAGGTGTGGGTTTGAGCTGCTTATCAATTCCTGCAGCCTCTCAGAATACCCATTTAGAGATGTACCACAAAGTTCCATAAGTTGATCTTTGTTAGTTGTTCTCTCTCACTCTTTTAGTATCTTCTGGCTGGTTAAATAACAGCTGTCTTTAATAGTAGTTATGCATTTATTTAATTCCTTAATTTCTTTTCTATCTAATGGAATTATCATTCGTTGGCAGTTCCTTACTGAACGCTAGCTTTTTAAATATTCACATAAAACTTAACTTGATTTTGTGCTAAACAGTATGCTTTTTTCTTTTCATTTCAGTCGACGTGGCACAAGTCTAATGGAAGATGATGAAGAGCCAATTGTTGAAGATGTGATGATGTCATCAGAAGGGCGGATTGAAGATCTCAATGAAGGCATGGATTTTGACACCATGGACATAGACCTAGTAAGAAATTTACTTTCTTTTTAGTGGATTTTGGATTTGTATTTCTACTTTTAAAGTAGGATATTTGAATCAAATTTTCCTTTTGGTGAAACAGAAAAATCATTCTTACTGATCTCTGCATTCTTAAACGGCTATGCCACTATCTGTATACGAGTGTCATCTGTTCAAACTGCCATACAAAAAGCAAGAACACTTCCTGTAATAATAATGTGAGAGATGAACATTTATCCCCTGTAAATTCCTACCCCTTTGAGAGTTCAGCTTCATTTATTATAGTTTAAAAACTCTTTTTTTCTGAAATTACAGTTAACACATTTATTTGCTTGCTTTCTAAAGCCACCATCAAAGAACAGGAGAGAAAGAATGGAACTAAAACCAGATTTCTTTGACCCCGCTTCAATCATGGATGAATCGGTAGGTTAACTTACTAAGAGGAAAATAATGTAAAATCAGTCTTAAGGTTACAATACTCTCTTACTCCAAATTTTAAATGGAAAGAATGCAATCTTTAGGTTGTCTTCATTAGCTTGTTTTGGCAGACTGGTACAGGCAGTGAAATACTTTATGCTGTAATTCAGCTTCAAAAATTCTAAGGTAGTCAATGTTCTTTGCAAGTTCATAGGATTTTTGTTCTTAATACTTTATATGTAGCTATGTAAAAATCAAAATCCTTTGAATCTGAGAAGAAAACACGTCTGGTATGGAAAAGACCCTTGCAGAGGTTTTTAGCAAAAAGCTTTTTAAAAAAAAAAATAAAAAAAAATTGTGCATACACAATATTTAAGGCAAGTTTTCTGTTGTGATGAGCTTAGTTGAGTGACTCTGTCATTACCAGTTGTCAGCATTGGATGGTTTGCATTGTGGGTTTTGGTTTTTTTTTTGGTTTGGTTTTGTTTTTTTTTAAATTGGCTTATTTACTTTTGTGCATAAGTAAGATAATGGAGAAAATAGAGATAATACAGATACCTGTTTATAGAGATGAGAGGTATTTTTTCTTTCCATATAAAGTTTTAGGTCCAAAACATCCGAAGTCTGTAGTTTCTGCTTGCAGTTGCCCTTTTTTCCGACTTGATAAATCTGCAGTCTCTATTCTCTTTTAAAAATCTGCATGAGGGATTCCTTCTGTCTTGAACCACTTGTAATGTATGCAGCCATTTTTGACCTTGTGTAGCTGGTACAAAATTACACTGGAAATAACAAGCTGCAGCAAGCCAGCAGAGGACAGTGCAACAAGGCTTCCTGGGAATCTTGGACAGCTTGGTGGAATTTGGAAGACGGTTATGTATTTTTTTACAGTATCGTTGCAGCGTGAACCTGTTCTTGTTATGGGAGAAAGAAGTCTGAAATACTGTTTTAAATGGAAATCCATATATTTTGTACCAGTAGGCCTTTGCTTTAGTAGTAATGAATCAGATTAGGTTGTGCATCTAGCTGTTGTGTGTTCTGTTCTTGAAGTAACATCAAGAAAGTATATCACCTGTTTTCTGACGTTCTGTTTTAAAATAGTTCTTCCTCTCCCCTTCTCGATTTTTGATCGATCTGTGAAATACCAGTCCTTTTTTATTCTGACAATGCTGAAAATTTGGTCTTCTACAGGTGCATTTCATTGATTTCAGAAACCTTTCAGCTTTTCAGTTTCTAAAACTAATTAAGAATAGTTTTAATAGGTTTACAGTTAGCTAGGTTTCTTTCCTATTACTTTATTTCTCATTCATCATCCCCTGTGAGCCCAGGATTTGCTGGGCACTCCTTAGCTGCATTGTGGGAGTATCACCACATGATGGCAGCCGGTTACAGTCGCATTGCTCTGCAAGCTTTTGGAGCCTGTTCCGAGAGCGTAGCGGTGGCCTGCCTCAGTGTGCCAGCACAACAAGCTGGATGCTGCTCCTCTGCAAGGAGGGAGCAGTGGTGCACTGAAATGAGTTGGTACGGTCAAGGGGGCACCATCTAGCAAACCTTCCTCCCGGGCAGGACGCGGCAAGGGTGGTGATCCTGGAAGCAGGACTGGAGAAAACAGCTGCATCGCAGAACCCAGCTGCTCTTTAGCATAAACCCCACCTAAACGAATTTAACTGCCTAAGTGGGGAAAGCTCTGCTAATAGTTCAGGAGACAACCCCTATTAAATCAGAGCTGAATTTCTCTGTCAGTATTTTAAATGTAAAAAACCCAATTTCATAAATGCAAAAAACCTTCTCTGAATAAAGTTAATTTACTTTATTCATATATTTATTTCAGAGGTCCATTATGATTGGAGTTGTTGCACTTGTTTTTAATAGACCTAGACATAATAAAGCTGTTTAATTTATTCAGATGCACATGGTTTATGATCAAAATTTTAGTCTGTCTTCTCATTTTTTGATGTGTCCAGTTATTGCTGGCACCAGAGGCAGTTGTGTCTTAGCGTGCTATATTGTATGATGCATCTAAAGTGAATTTAATACCAAGAACAGTAAAAATTGGTTTGTAAACAGATAAATGTGAACAGCAGTGTTAAGGTTCAGGAAAATTAACTCTCTCATGGCTCTTTCTTATTTTATAAAGTCCTATAAAAGCTAGGACAGTCAAAAGATCTGGATCTTCTGAGGTTTTGGCATATCAGTGGTGATACCTACTTCCATTGGCATAGAAAGCTATATATGGCTTGCTCCCACATGGGAAGTGGAAACTGATTCTTCGTTTCAGGAAAGCTTTTTCTTCACTTAATCACACAGTCTCCTGAAGGACAGTATTTTGATTTTACTTGATTATTGTTTGATTTTTTTCGCTGTCTTCCTGACAGAGTTGAGATATTTAATAGGAAATACTAAGTTTGTGTCCTGGCTGGCTGCTGCGAGATGACCTGTTGTTTTTATGAACACAGACGCAGCAGCAGTGAGCATATAGAGTGTTTTGTCCCAGGCTTAGTTGCTGGAAACTACACACTTGATTTCAAGTTAAGGCCTATAGAATGCCATTGTCAAAGAAGTCTCAGTTAGGCAACTGACTAAAAATTATTTTGCAGTTATTACCTAAAATAATTAAAGCACAGTCTTTATCACATTCCTACTGGATCTAGTTAATGTCAAGTGTGGGAAAGATATTTTCTAATGCTGAGGTGCCCTTTTCATATTATTACATAAATCAAAGTGTGGTGAATCTGGTTTGGAAGAAAAATAAACTTATAATGCCTTAACATATCTTGAAGTGTCTTAATCTTAAATCATATACTAATTGCTTTGTTTTTGTTAAATGTGTAGTAGACTACAAATTGACACCATTTCTAACTTTTTTTTTAGGTTCTTGGGGTGTCAATGTTTTAATACCAGAGCAGCAAATAAATCAGTGGTGAAGTCATTTTCTAAGTGGAAGAGGAAGTTTTTCAATACAAAATTGTGGTAGATACAGTGAAATTCTGAACAGATTTTTCTCTAAGGAGAATGACATGCTTTCAAGATCAAGTGCATTGAAGGGGCAGTTTTGTTTGCCTGAAAAAAAAAGAAATGTAAAGGACAAGTAAACAATTTGAGGATAAGCTACACTTTTTGTTGGGGAAAAAAAAAAATCAATATTTTATTTATGTGCTATCAGTTTATTTCCGGATCATAAGAACTATTCCCTCAGAGTTTTAATCTAACAGTCTGAGAGGTGTTTGGTACAGATTTGAGCCCCTCTCTATACATTTGCTGGCTATACTAAATAATCATGAGCTCTGCTGGATTGCTGTTTACATCCATGAACTGAAATAATAGATGGATTGGTTTTCTTACAGTGATAGAACCAGAAGAGTGTCAGTATTTTAAATTAAATGCAAACTTCAGCAACAGAAGGTTTGTATTAATTAATCACGGAAAAAAAAATACATAAAGCAGAATTTTAACAGCTCTTTAATCTAAAACACACTTTTATTCCAAAAGCTTCATGCTAGCCTTCTCAGAAGGGTCCATAGACTATGAACTACCAGAAAGTAACAGATCTCAGTCATGCTTGCCCATTACCAACCCTGAAAGTTTGCTTGTCCTTTAAGAAAAATGTAATGTTGTGAAATTCCTTCCAGTAGTGCCACTGTATTTTGTCTCCAAATAAAAGAAGCTTATTGTAGTATGTTTGCAGAAAAATTCTAAA